TGGAAATACAATGTCTTTCTTCTCTGTAGTATATACATATATGTATATTCCGTCAAAGTGGAGAATTCATGTGGCAAGAAGAGTTTCTGCTGCTCTCCCAATAGCGCTGAAGCTTATTAAGTTGCCATATGATGCACAGCAGCGTCCTTTCGTCTCAAATTTTGCCTCGCCAATTTTCCCTCGAAGTTCATTCGAAGTGGCGAGAAGACCCCTGAGGGGTTCTACAGCTCCCCCGAGAGGCTGGAAGAAGTGGAAAAAGGGGATAATCATTTACATTGAAATTGAACAAGGAAAAGCAGGAGTAATTAAACTTTCAAAGAGGACATTTCCTCGAAATACTCATGACATTTCACTTGATGAAAATGCTAAAGCGAACTTGTGCGGCAATTTTCCCGCAAAAGGGAAGATCCTCAGCAGATAGTAAATCTCTTTTCCTCCCCATAAGTGAACATACCAAACGAGAATGTGGATAAAAGAGAGTATTTAAGAGTCGATTTTTCGCAACTGCACCCATTGCAATATCAGCATTTTATAACATGAGTGAGTTTATTCTGGTATAATTGACCTGGATTTTTTTTTCACTTCGAGCTCCTCATTAAAATCTGACGTGCAGATATTTAACTGAATGAAAAATAAACATCCCAATTGACGAGTTCTTTCGTCGAACACGTAGAAAAAAAATGAACGAGGTAGAAGAGCAAAAATTTTAATGAATTTGATCTAGAAATCTTTAATGGGAGCTCAATGGGAACACTTTGAATTAGGGCGATGTTATTTTGCAGAATCACGTCAATTTCCAGGATAATTCCTGCAAGAAATGAATAAAAATATAAATGGAACTTTTCAGTTATTTACAATTGATCTTCCCTCGTGCACTAATCTTAGTATTGCAACGGTTTTCATTGACTCTATATTAAGAATTAAAGTAATTAGAGGAATTAGGGAGTGTCTGGAAAAGTGTTGCAATTTCCCGACGAGAGACAGAATAATTTCCCCAGGGTGTGAATACGGAAAACAGTCGGAAAGGTCGACTCTCGATAGCGTGTAAATATTGAACGACATGGAAAATGAGACAGAAGAGTGATGTTGCTGAAAGGGTGTGGGTTAAGGCTCTCTTTAAGATTTTAAACCCTCTCTTGAGGCATCCTCTTAGCCCACCCATCGAGTAGGGGTGGTTGCTCTTTTGAAAATGCTGTACACAATTAGCGAAGCATTGAATCCGCACCGATTTCGGTGAAGATGGGTAGGAAATGAAGATTTTCTCCGTGGCTGCATTAAATTTGCGATCAAGACTCATCACGTGGTGAGGGTGGGTGGGAAATTTGAATGGGAGAGCAAGTTGGTGTGTCTGTCTATTGTACCGTACAAAACGTCATGGATTTCGAATTGAATTCCTTCCATTAATCAAACATCATCTAAAACCACCATCTAAATCTCACACTTGAATAATACGCTTTGATTCTCACACACACACACACTGAAGTCCCTCAGTCAATTCAATAAATTATTCAAATTTGTGTACACTCCCACTTAACAGTTCAATTATTCTTGTCTCCTGCCCCACTAATGCCACCACCGAAACTCCTTACAACGTCAGGCTCCTTGTGAGATTCGTGGCAAAAACCACTTTGACTTTGGCACAATTTTTCCGCATCTCCACAATTCCCTTTATCGCCATCAAAACCACCGCAACCGCAGGAGTGTTTGCCATTGTATCAAGCACAATGGCTCCGATCCACCCCCGGTATCATTGTTTCTGGGCACATTCTAATCACAGGGAAACCACAGCAGAAGCGCATTTTAACATATTGAACCCATAATTTTCTTCGTCAACTTTTCCATTCCCCAGCAACAACTCATCCGCACGAGCATTACGCCTCGGATGCTACTGCAGGCGACACAAGGTTCAACTTTCATGAACCTGGGGATGCTCTCTTGTAACATGACAAGCTCTCACAGAAATTGCAACTTGAAACATACAAAATTGTGCAGCAATGAGAGGGTGTTCCGCAAAGAAATTGATGCCTCGTCTTAAAGGAATTGCTACATTATTCTTTATGCGAAAGGAGTCAAAGAAAATTGAATAATAATTTTTTCTGAAATTGCTACTTCAAAGAAAATATACCTATAATTTTTCCCATGAACTTTTTTCTGTGAAAAACAAACTAGAACTTTAAGGTATATATGTGTGTGTGTATTTAATAATGCATAGAAATTTAGCAAATTATAATTTCCGAAGCGAAAAACACCGAGATGGGAAAGTGGAAGGTAAACAGAAGAGAAATTTTCCATGTAGAAAAACTACCGGGGAAAATTCAGGGCATTCCCCCTTCCTCATCGATGTTTTGCTAATTTTCCCAGCCAAGTTCCCAGCAAACTCACGAAAGAGAATTTGTGAGGAGAGGCCAAAAAGCACTGTAAGACAAAACACGGAAAAGCTCCACCAAATTCCAGACCCCCAATCATCGTCTGCAGTATTTTACCCAACTCAGAGCATGTCGAGGGGCGACGCTTTATTCAATATTTAATACGCAAATGCTTTTCAAACATGAAATGACTGTCGATGGTTTATGCCTGAAAAAGCTCTTTCGCCCCAAAACTTCAGGCGCACACACATACATACGCGCGCACGAAGTGAAATTGAATTCCGCCCCTTTTCCTCTCGCTGATGAGGCAAATTTCAATGAAGCTCGTGGGTTGGTGTGATATAATAAATTCATAAATATTGGTTTTATTCAATGGAACGAATTAAATGGACAAATTGACAGTGAATAGAGTTATTTGGGGGTGGGCGGGAGATTATCTGTATTGACGCACTCACTGGGAGCTTTTTCCCTGATTGTTTCACCTCCACCTCTGTGCAATGTGGCGAAAGCTCTCGGGGAAAATTGAGCAAGTGCTGGAGGAAATTGTAGTCAATTTGACTTTGTAGCAGAGAAAAGAAGTGGGAATCAGTATTCCGACAGTGAGTTTTCCTGTGAGTTTCTCTAAGCACTAAATTTTGTATCACATTTAGCACGATTTCCATCTTTGCGATGAAAATACACCCCAGCAAACGAATTTAACTCATTCCTCCGGTCGCGGGTGTATTACAATATTATGAAGGAAAATGCCATTATGTATTCTGCATGCAGCATTTATCCATCTTGATATGCGCCCCCGATATAATATACAAATGCCAGCAAATTCCATGAGACTACCGGAGAGTAGATTTCGTGCAGTTTCGAAATGATTGGCCTACGATGGGGCGAGCGCAAATACTAAATTTTCATGTGGGAATGCCCAAAATTTAGCCTCCTGTGCCTTAGACGAGCACAGACAGACCATGGTCGTAATTAGTGATACATTTGCAAATATTTGCATTACTAGCTTATAAACCATACTACACAAAATGTCTATAATTTTTCCCTTAAACATTATCCGTGTGAGAAATGTGTTTTATTTAACATTTCTGGTGCGATATCACAAAGTTGCGTGAAGACTTGTACTGTTTGCCATATAGGAAATAAAACAGCTCACCGCACGAACAATATAGTCTAACTATTGTAAGCAAATAACTCACGTCATTGGTTAATTTATTATGAAGCAACATACAAAATGTACAAATTTTATCTCATCCTCCACCACCCATCTGAGAATGGCCCAAAATTGCCAGCTTGACCATAGATAAATTTCCATACCGGAGCAAAAGTTTATGAGGATGAAAACCGAACGTTTGGCCGAGTCTTGCCGTACAGTTGTGGAAAGTGCTGGTCAAAATACTATATAGCAAAATGGACTCATGAGAGTGGAAGATGTAGTGAAAATGATACGGAAATAGTCGAAGGAGTTTTGAAACCTCTCCATATAGAGAAAATGGGGTGGAAAACCGCCTTTGGAGAACTTGAAGCTCGAGAGCTGGAGTTGTGGATTGAAACCACAGTGCAGGAGAGATATGTCTTGTGTTGGGGTAAATTAGAGATGGGAATTTTCACTGATAAATATTTAATTGTTTTCCCTTTGATTAAGCCAATTCTCTCCATGGGTCTGTGGGTGGACGAGAGCAAATTAATTTGAATACTTGCCTTTGTTCACGCACTTTTGACGTTCCAAGCTCGGAGGGCAGGTTAATTGGTCATGAATTATGGAAAGACAACACAGTATAAGGTATTTCTTCAATTAGGCGGCCTTTCCCGAGGGATGATGAATAATTAGATTGATTTTCTTGACGCTGCACAATTGTTATGTAATAAAAAAATATTGTTCTACGAGAAGGAATGACTATTAGCCTTCGGAGTTCACAAGTTCGTCATGAAATTCCGTATCATTGAACTGACCTCTGAGCATTCTAACTCTTATGGGTGGTGTGCCAAAAATTACCCATAATTGCGAGAGAGTGGAACAGAAAATTCCCAGAATTATGTTGTCAATCGGATGAAAATTGTGCCCCACTGAGGACAAATTTGCGTGACGGACACTCAAAGTGAAGTGGACGGAGTCTTGTTGAGTAATATTTCCATATGCTTCAGTGTCTATATCAATTATTCAAGCGACATTTATTGCTGAGACAATAAACATTCAAGTGCTATAGCCCTCAATTTAACCTATCACAGAGTTCCAGTGTTTCTCCCTTTGATTACTCCCCATTAAGAATTTAGAAGGAAACATGCACGAGTGATGTTTGAAAGAATTTCTGAGTAATACCACTTCTTTTGCTCTCTGACACGCTGCAAATTATATAATAATAACAGAAAAATGTTTTTTTTTCACAATCTTACACATTGAGAATATGACTTTTCACCTACTTTATTCTTTCATCACTCTTTCTGTTCTCTTACAACTATTCTTTATATTTCATTTCTATATTATCTGTAATGTGTCTTTGAGTTTCATTTTTTGTGTGAAAATCATCTCAACTAGCTGAGGATATTTGATGTGTTAATTTGAAAATTTTTCTTTCTCCCAACTCCAACCCAAATCTTCTGTGTCACCTTTCGCGTTCGACCCTTCATGTCCCCCAGGCTATTGCAGAGGTCGCGAGACCTTGCAGAATCTCTGTGAGCAAATCCCCGGCGATGCCCTCCTCTTTAGTATGTTCAAGGAGAACGCCGAGCCCGTCAAGTGTCCCCTCAAAGGTGAGTCCCAGTTTTGCTCAATATTCCCTGTAGAAATGCGCCTCCATTCCACCGGGTTGTCATCCTCTTTCTTCGTGTCCACAGGACCCTTTACGTTCACCTACAATCGGGGTCACGGCGAGTGCCGCAGTCCGGTGTCCAACATCGAGAGCTGCACAGAGGACAGTCGTCTGCTGCTGAGCTTCCAGGCCTGCCCAGACGTGGCGGGCACGGAGAGCACTGTGGAGGAATTAACTTGTTTGGCTACGTGGAAAGATGGTAATTCGAGGTATTTGGTCGGATTAGTATCACACCACCACGCAACGTCCAACGAGGAGAAATATCGGTGCTTTGTGTACGAGAAAACCTCCACCGGAATGGGTGAGTGTCAAGCATTGCCCACACCTCATCGCTCAATTTGCTCCCCCTGGGCGAGGGGTTAATTGCTCAGCTGACGCAGGTGACAAGTTCCATTTGTGGAGATGCGACGACATGACCAGATATTGACCTACATATTGTGGCCGGTTTGCCATTAAATTCACTTATTAACGAAATCTCTGTAGCGGAAGAGGGAATATAATCGAATTGAGTGTATACAGAATGGGTTTAGTATAATCATTTGTGTGATTAAACACTGATAATTAATGGCCAACTCAACCACAATGACTCGATCAACATTTAATTCTTTAGTTTGACAATGCAGAAATAATTCTATAGCATAGTGAAAGGTAGGAAAAGCAATTAACCCCTCGGTATTAACTTTAATCTACCACTTTTTCTCAAAGTGAAAGTGTTTATATTTTACCCAGACGCTGAGGAAATATTTATTATTCATAGCAAACTTAATCTTCTTCCTTTCTGTCTGCCTTTCTTGCTTACTTCTTGTGTGGAACAAAAGGACTCTCGTCAAAAGATGCAGCTTACAAATTGGCGCAGTCTGGAGATGCCACATGCAATGGACTAGACAGTGCTGAAGTGAGTTGTTGAACAAATGTACTTCTTTTTCCGTTCAGAAAGTTACAATTGTGACTTCTGTTCAGGTCGGCTCGCGCATTATGACCCTGAGGAAGGCCCCGCCAGCGGAGAGATGTGACTTCCCAGCGTGGTTCAAAGGACCCAAGCATTGGCACGCACTTCAGGGAAATGTTGGCTACACATTTCATCAAAGGTAACGGCACACTAAATTAATTTTAGCGTCCCAAATGTTGGGATTGTAATTAATTAACTCGACTCTGCTCATACCTTTGTTCATCTGATTCGCTTCAACTTCTGTTGATGGGGTGGGAAAGAGCGCCATGAAATTCGCACTATAGTCATATAGAAATGGAATCGAAATTGCGCTGAGAGAAAATTGCATGAATATATGTGTATTTTGGTTGAATGTGGGTGATTTTGTGGGTCTGCAAAATCCAAATGAAATCATATTGGCATATTATTAAATCGGTGCAATTTAATTGACGAACTTTGGGTGTTATAAAATTGTAAGCATAGTTTCATGGTGAGTTTCACCGAGAGTTCAGATTTAATTAGTCCGGTGGAATCAATCGAATTTCAAACTACCAACAGCCACAGTAATTACTGTATCCAATTAATACTGATTCAGCATCAACCAAAAAGCGGAGGATTCACAGGAAAAAAGACCCCGCATCGCCCCGGCTTAGCCATCAAATACTGGGCAAATATCAATTTCTATATATTTCAATTTTCCACCCATTGAGAGACACTCTCGCAAAATTGTGATTGAAATGAAAATTTGTTTGAGGGTGATTCACTGGACACCCCTTTTCCCCCCATGAAAAGTTAACCCAGTACTTGATGCTATTTCTCCTCTTTTCCCTATTTCTCAACTTGAACCCTTCCGGGTGGATATGTATGATGAAAAAAAAACCCTCACAATTGCTCAAATGTCTCAATGTCGCTGCCCGGAAATAAGATCAACTGTGATCCTCTCACTATTTCGGCCCGACAATCGCCTTTGCCCTCTTTCATTGGGCTGAAAAAGAGTGAAAGAATCCTTTTGCCCACTCAGGAAATTTCCCTCATGTCGATTTCACGATGACAACACAGAGAATAAATGCGAAAAAGGAATAGAAAATATTCTCCATTATATTTTTTATGTTAATCCAGAAGTAAGATTCTCTACGTGAACTTTTTATGTAGATATTCTCTGTGTCTCTTATAGTGTTGCTTAGTTATTTCCTAACTTCTTTTCACATCTATACATTTCTCAACTCAGATTCCAATATAAAGTGTTTTCCTGGAAAATTTCCCTCTCAATCCTGAAAATTGTCCCTCTTTTTCATTTGAAGCGAAAAACTTTTGCATATTTGTCTCCTTGACATATTGGTCCAAATATACTTGAAATTTTCTTCCACTTCAGCTTTCACTTCTCCTGAAGTTCTTAAAATAATGGAGTCACAGAAGTTCGTGCGAGACACAATGTTGAATGGCTGTTTTGAGAATAAATATTAAAATATCCTCTCAATTTACCAACTCTTTGACAGTGCGGAGTTCACCAGCGTGGGTGGTGAAGAAAAAATGACTTAACAGGAAGTGAAAATTTATCATATCTTCTCTCGTTTCACCTTCCTTCTGGCATCCTGAAGCACATCCCCCTTTTTTGCCTGCTGATTCTGCGGCATTTCATCTCCTCGCTCCCGATTTCCTCCATGTCTAACCATAATGCCAGAGCTCCAGAGGGAGAGAGAGGAGATACGTGGGCTGTGCCGGGGTAAAAAGCGAGGGACCGAAAACACGAAATGGCTCTATGTTGATTGGGAATGAGGGAAGGATGGAAAAGTTTTTCACTCCACAATTTATCGCAGTATCCCAAAAAATATTTATCAGTACACTTGAAAACTTCCACCCTTAACTTTATTCCGTGGCTACATAAATATATTCAATGGCTATGATAGTCCTTTTTGCTTCTCTTCCTAATTTTCATAACTCTGTTTGGCTGTTGACGCGCATTCATGGATGAAAATTCCAATTACTTTCAATTGACTCGCTAATGTCAATTGCACTCCAACTTCCCGGGCAGTCTTTTTAGCGAGACTCTAAATGGCCTGAGAAATGATCCATTATTTTGAGGTGAATCCTTGTTCGTTTCCAATAAATTCTTACAAAAGACTTTAATATAATCTCTTTTGATCTTGCTTCAAAGAATCTAATATGTACACTTTGGGAACTTATTAATTGCTAATTAAATTATTAGGCGAAAACTATTTACGGAGGTATACAGAATCGCAACTGATTGAGATGTTTTTGAGGGTGTAATGTGGGTGTCGTCAAATGATAACTTTATATGAAATGTGGTGAATTGGTATTGAGGAAATATTAAGTAAATAAATAAATTTCAATTTCAGTGATGGATCAATGCACATTACACGGCAGAGCGGAGCGATGGAGACTCGAGCTCTGTGTGAGCAAATTAACAAACAAACCCCAACGGAAATGATGGCTGTGGTGCACTACACAACAGGCTGGTGAGTAATTATTTGCACAGCGTCCAAAGGGGAGGGCATGAGTCCCATGGCCGAAGAAAGGGAGGAGCAAATTATTATTTACAATGGAAACACGCTACATATATCGAAGTTGGAAACTTTCATTGCTTCTTCTTCTTCCCTCAATACATCTTGCAAACCATCGACTTTTCCACCCAACGACAGCCAATGATTTCCCCATTGAATCACCCTGGAGCTGAGCTTGAGAGTGAGGAATTGCAATGCAAAAAAGACAGTCAAAGAGATGTGCAACTCTCTCGTGGTCTTTCTTTTCGGGTTTTCTTCTCAAAGAAGAAACACTTCTTACCTTTAAATCCATAGAAAGCAGCTCAATGTGTCTGAGGGTAAAATTCCCCGCTCATTTAATATAATTAGAAGTATTTTTTTTATCCTTTATCAAATCTGCTGCAGATTTGTTGTGTCAAATCATAGAGAAAATGAATAAAATATGAAATTATTTCCAAGTTACTGAATAACCTTTAAAAATATGAATGAATATTCTATTTTACTTAAATTCACATTTATTAGAAATTGCATTAATTCTTAAAATTTGCATCTCTTGAAGTCAACAGAATTAATTTAATAACATTTCTTCTCATTTATGAATAAATTCTGATGCAGTTTCCCACAGAGAGAATCTCGCATTCTTATACTGTCTTCATAAACAGCATTTTCCATAAATTTCCAGTGTTGAAAATTTTGCAATTTTGCAAGAAGTCTCGAATTTTATCGAGCACGCAAAGGTTCAAACGGAAAATTTGATGGGAATTTATGAAAATTGTAGCGTGATTCATTTTGATTTTGGCATCCGGGATTCTCTCAATATTTTACTGAATGCGTGCTTTGAGGAATAAAAATTCTTCTACACTGTGGATCCTCTCTTCTCTCTCTTTCTCTCTCTCACTCCTTGCGGGGTCGCCAAACCCATGAGCTCTGAAATATATACATAAATAATCATGTACTATCGATTCTTGGTGAAAACAGCCAATCGGGATTTATGTGCATGATGTTCTATCGACGAGACACTCACGTTGCCGAGATACAAATGGGTTCTGCGGCATCAAGACTCGAGGATGCTTGTGCTCCGGATCACTTTGACATCAACAAATTGCCCCACATCACACTTTTAGGTAAGAGGATATCGCCTCACCGTCGCAGTGGCGAAGGAGCGCCCTGAGAGCGTGTGGCAATAGATAAATTCCCTCACTTTCTGCCATCTTTGTGACTCAATTGCGTATTCCAATCTCAATTTCATTTGCTAATATGCAGCCATCAATCCCGAATCGGAGGTCTGTCCCTTGGAGGGTCTGTACCCCGTGCGGGGGGCCATCGGACCACCCTATGCTGCGTCGCGTCATAAGAGGAATCACAGCAACAACAGCAAAGGACACATCCACGGACATCACCATGAGATCAATTCTCATCGAAGGTAACTTTCTATTATTGCTCTCGCCATGCCTCTGTCAATGGCGAAGTGCGCTTGCCTTTTCCACCACTTCGTCGTGCAGGGGGATTATAACTCAATCCGAGTGGAGAGGTATTGAGTTGAAAAATGCACGAAATGCTTTCAATTCATTGCACTTAAAGAGAATATGTGATTAGATCATTCAATCATGTTTAATCCCTATCTGATACTCGTTTGCTGGGAATTGCCACTTGCATTTTGCAAAATTAATCAATGAAAGAAAAAGAAAGATAGAATTCATAATATCAAATTTTTTGTAGCCTAAAAAATCAACATCTATTTACATTTTTCTCAATTCCAACAGCGTCAAAGAATGTGAATGAGAGACAAATTCGAAACTCATTCAACTTAATTGGCGTATCATTAAGCATATATTACCAAGAAATCGACACAATGTCTCAATTTAATTCAACGCTATCAATTCTCGCTCTCACAAATCAAAGCGTCCGTTTTTTTCTTCTTCTTCTTCTTCTTCTTCTTAAGAACCGTGATTATTCAGCGATTTTGACTTTATTCTTCTCCTTCTACACAGACATGGATCTCTAAGCTTCCGCAATTCAGAAGAAATCAACGATGGTGGCTCTTGGCATCGCCAGACTCGCGGAGTTGCCGTCAGAGAGCGTCGCAGTGTGAATCCAGAGCGCGGACGCTCACGCAGGGATAGTCCGACGTGCGTGATCAACTACAACTCGCCTAGACATCTTCTCATTGGGTGCTCAGAACCGAACGTGATCGAAGTGCGGCCGACGTGTAGCGATGAGGGTGATGAAAGTGAGCACTATAATCGCAATGTACAAAGGATATTTTGCTAACGCTCTCTGTGCTTTCAGTGTACACTTGTCATGGCTCCTGGTCGGAGAATACAACAATGTTCGTTGTGGCCAGGCATGTGGGAACTGCACACGGGGTTTGTATAACATACAAGCCAATGGAGAGCAGTTCAGCACAGCTCTTCGTGGGCGATTCTTGCTACCGAAGCAGTGTCATGTCGGCCACTGGAGTCAGTCTTAACCACCATCTCGTGGCCAATCTCACTGTTCATGGTAAATCAATGGCAATCTTTCCATGTCAGAATCTCTTTAAACTTATTCGAAAATATTGCAGATAAATCTGGAATGCTGGACAGAGAGGCTAAATGCTCCGATACCAATTCATCGAGTTTGCCCACGAATCACTGGATTCTTATTTGTGTCGTCGCATCTGCGTCAATTCTAGCTATCTACTCTCTAAGTTGACTCCACCAAGACTATCCTTAGAGGCTCCTCATGATCACAGAAGAGCCAAAGAAGTGTTCCCCTTAAGACATGTCCCTCGGTATTGCACGAGAACATTGTCTTCTCACTAGATTGTCATGTAAATATTTTATATATACAGAGGATGACAGAGATACTAAACTATTGAACTAATCAACCACTATATTTGAATTTGAAGTGAGAGAATGATAAAGGATTTAATTAGATGGTGAAAAAGCGATATGATATCGAGGTGATACTAGATTATTTTTGCTAACTGTACAGATCATGTAAAAGAGATTAATGAGAAGAAAAAAAAAATTATAAATTGATTTTTATTAGATACAAAAAATAAATTGTAAAAGAAATTTTGACGACTAAATGTATAAAAGAAAACGGTGTGGAATTTACTAAGAAGTGTCTCTCCTTGATTCTCTTCCAATTAAAACCTTTTTTTTTTTTAATTATTTCCACGCATTTCAAGAGCATTTCTTTTTGTTTTTCTTTTCTTCATTTATGCATGTTATTTTTTCCACGCACGGTCGAGAGTGAAATTTCTTACGAGACAATTTAATGGAAATGTGATGTTTGTAAATAAAATAAAATTAGCAAATCGAGAGATTTGGTACCGTGAGTGGATGATGAAAAAGAAGAAAAACAGAAAACTTGTTTGTGAATGTAAATGTAAAACAGAGAACATTTTTTCCCAGCACAATTTATCTATATTCATATAAGGTAAACACTTGAAAGACAGAGAATTTGTATACGGAATATCACAAATCATTATACTTTTCTGTTTTGTCTATGAAGCATTTTTTGTCTTCTATTAACACCTATATTTCTTGTCTTCTATTGAATTCGCTGTGGTTGAAAGCCAACCAGGGAGAACAACCTGTCTATATAGATATTAAAAAATTAAGTAGTGAGATGGTGAAAAAAAATAAACATAACCCATACAGGAATCTGTGATTATTAAGGTGTATAGAAGAAAAATATTGAAATTGACTTTAAAGACGAGATTTATGGATTATTCGGAGGAGATTAACCAAGATGAAGACCTTTACGAAATAGACAGAAGATGAAAATCATGCAGTCTTATAGAAATTCTAAAAAGGGAAATTCTGATCATTATTTAAATAATATCGCGTCTTTGATGAAATACAAAGATTTCGTGGGTGAAAAACAATTCTCGAGAGTAGTCAGTGTGATGTTTTGTAATTGGGTTCTTTTCTGTATTGAAAACCTTTTATTCCTCAGTTTTCACGATATATTTTGACAGCTTAAATTGTAAAATGTTCAACCACAAAGCTTCAAACTGATATGTTTTTCTTGTCACATGTGAAGAAAATACTAAATTATACTCTAAAATAGATGGTGAAATGAATTTATGTAATGTATATATCTATGTGTTTTTGTCACATATGAGTAAACAGCTAAAAAAAAATAAAATAATCTTCATTTTGCAGATCTTAGAGAAACACTTTTGATTCAAAAGCAGAATTGTGTGCTTTAACAAGTGAAAACTATAAAACTTTTCACGTTTTTTGCAAGATCCCAAGCAAAACCCAGTGGAAAATGGAGAGTATAATAGCCATCACTCGAGAGTTCACGTTTGAAAAGACATGAAGGAAATTCACCGAGAATTTTTGTATTACATGTTATCAAATGCAGTGTATTCAATTTTTGTCTTGCCTTCGAAACAGAAACGAATATAGAGAGTGAAGAGTGGAGAGAGAATTATTAAATTACCTTATATTGCATAATAAAAGAATAAAAAAAAAAGATATAATAATGGGAAGGAGATGGAAAATATGTAAAATAAAATCTGCCAGAGCATTTAATGTTTTTTTTTTTAAGCAACTTTTCATAGAGAAAGAAAAGGACACAAAGACAGAAACCACACAACACAAATTTATCCTATAGAGAGAAAATAGAGAGAGAAAGAATCACTAAATAGACCTCGATATAAAAAAAAAGATGGATCATTGTAAAGGAAAAATTTGTAAATATGAATTACAGAATAGAAAGGAGAATCACTCTTATTTATTCCTCTGTAATTTTACACACAAATTTTCTTTTAGCAAATTTTTGACTATTTTCATGTTTTAGATGAGAGAAATGTGTAAATATCATCAAATATACATTGCAGATGCAACAAAACAAGTGTATAAAATAATTGAATAATTGAGAGAAAATGTGTAAACAAAAATGAAAAAGCTGTGTTTTCTTTTAATTCCTTTTGGCGCAAAATGCTGAATTTCTTGCGACAACTTACACATAATGTTTCAACATTGTAGTACGAAATCTTGCAAGAAACATTGTAAATTTAATTTCAACGGTCTCATAGAGCATATGCTCAATATGCAAGATTTTCTGAAGAATGCAAATATTTTAAATTTTCACGTGATTAGTTCTTAAAGTCAATAGGTACTCCCTTTCGTAATCTTCCAATAAATTTTCAAGACACCGATTTACAATTTTGTTGTGCAAAAACTTAGTTGACTAGGAATTTTCCTATGATTCATTCATACATGAAATATATTTGAGCTAATCTTATATAATCACTCTCCCAGTTTTGCTTTATAGCCTCGCTGATAAATGAATGAAATAGTTCTGGAAGACTTTTCACCTTCGCCCACGCAGAATTTCCCATCGCGTGTCTCTTCAGCGTCAACGGCGTGAAATGTCTGTGAAAGTGTCTATTTTTGAATTCCTCAAGAATAAACACACCGCAATTTTGATGGTGAGAGCATCGTGAGAGAGACTGAAAATCAGGATGTGAAAAGTGGAAAATTTATCTATATATTCTTTCCATCAGTACAAAAGGTGTGAAGATTTCTTGCTTTTAGCATATGAAATTATGAAAAAAGAGCATATGAAAATAGTTGATGTTGTACAAAAAAGGGCAAGAAGGTGAGTGTTGAAGTTTAGCATTCGGCCTTTGGCGTCTCCTCAGCCTTAGAGTCGTCCTTCACTGTGAGATGAGCCGGACCGGTGATCTGGATCTGGATGACTTTCTCCTTATTCTCCACGGATTTGTTCACTGGCGGCGCCTTGATGGTCAGCACGCCATCCGAAGAGAGCGTCGAAACCACATCGCTCATATTGAAGCCCTTGGGCAGAGCATAGCGACGGACAAATTGCCTGGACACGAGTCCATGATCGTCCTCGCGCTCCTCGTGCTTTCCCTCCACCACAATGTAGTTGTCCACAGTCTTCACGGTGATCTCATTGGGACTGAAGTGCTGCACGTCCAGACACACTTGGAAGCCATCCTTCTCGTTCAGCACCGGCGTTTTCGGTTCGTCCTTGCTGTCGCTGGTCTTGGACAGAGACCAGTTCCGCGTGTACCCAGACGGAGTCCTCAGGAGACGTGGAAGAGTCCTGGCGCTTCGCAACTCCCTGGGGTGGAAGCTGATGCCGAAGTTGGGATCGGACCACCTGGAGGACCAGTTGTCGTAGAAATCATCGAAGTCGTAAAACCACGGTGAGAATCGAGACATTCTTGATCACTTTAAACTCTGCCACAAAACTCTGTCACCACAAAGATCTCTTCACTGAGCTATTTCGTTCGCAACACTGACGGATCTCGCGAGCAGAGGCAACATTTTATACGGGCGTGTGATTTTCCCTGATCGAAAACTCTCGACTCTTCTCGAGGAGAGAATGTTTGAGAAGTTTTTCTATATTTAGGAATGTGTGATTCACGCATTTTCATAATTTTCTCAAATACATTAAAAACACCCAATTTATCTGTGCATTCACGCCAAAATTAACTCACGAAACACTCTCACCTCAGATGCGAATAGGACACTCTGTCAGTGTTTTTTAGCCCATTTGAGGAAGACGCCAACAACCAGAGAGGCTAAATTTGCCACAATTCATAATGGATTTATTTTAGAAAATGAGAAGTCATCGGTGTGACACCATATGTTAAATAATTTAATTGAGGAATAAGCGTAGGTAATTAATAAAAAAAGGAGTGTCAGAGATAATTGATAGACCATCTTTTCTCTCAATTTCTTCCATACAAATCTGGCAGATACATTGAATTAATATATTGGTGAGAACTGCAAGTGGTTCGTTGCTCTTAACTCATAAAACTCACCATAAACATCATAAAACTTCCAAAACTTATTATCATTGGTTATAGGACGACACTTAAAAGGAAATTACGACAATTTCAAGTAAATTATTCCCTGGAAAATCTGACCTAATCGTATAAGAAATATAAGATTTGAAGCATTTACAGTCGCTCCTAATAAAAGGTGCTTTCAGCTAGGAAGAGAAAAACCTAAACAAGTCACTTGAGTATTCAATCATATTATGTCCGGAAAATAAATTTTCATGGATTTTCCAGGTATTTCATACATGGAACAAGTATGTTTCATTCTTGTTTCGCAGTGTAAAAGCAATGGTTTTTGATTAGTCGAGACACAAACCGAAATTCATTTCAACGGATTTCAGTTTATTGCGTAATCATTCTTGTTATTACAACAGAAAGAAAAAAGGGAAAATTCATGAAATTCCAATGCTCGGATATTAATATAGTATTATAAGTATAGCCTCTGTTCCTCCCAGTCAATTGGATAAGGCGTCTCAATTTTGGGCATCATGGGAAGAAGCCTCAGCAGCGACTTCAGATTTCTCCCCACGCTCAGAGGAACCTGCAGAGGAAGTTTCCTTATCCTTGTTCTCAGGCATCGCCGGCATACTGGCTTCAAGTGCATCCACTCGCTCCGCGAAAATCCTTGTCATCTCTTCCAATAGTCCCACCTTGACCTCAACTTTGCGCTTGGCTTTCTCAAACTCTAATGCCATGTCCGTGAGAGTCTTCCTGTCGCCATCATCAGTATTCGGCAAAGTCACCAGGCGGGTGATGATCTCCACTGAAAAAGAGACACCAAATGCTAGCAGCAGGAACATCACAGATTGAGTGAATACCGAGGTAACTTACAGAACTCCTGCACCAGTTCATCTTTGCCATTTTTCACCAGCCTCAAACATTCCTTCACTTTAGCTACGATATCCTTGAATAGGGCCACTTTTTCCAAGTGCTCACGACGTTTCTCCTCGAACAAGTTAGCCTCCGTCGCCTCCGTGATGTTTCCAACATCCTCACCATCTTTAATATCACGTGCCCTGGCCATTATCAAAGATAAACTCGCGAGAAGACAAATTCGTATAAATGGACGAAATACAGAAAGACGCTCTAATACCCGCGCGAAATGACGTAAAGTGAGGTTGTGAAGTCTGAGAAACCCTTTAAATGCCGCGTCCTTCTGCGATTAGAGAGACTCCGAAGACATTCTGCAGAGCTTTTCCTATTTGCATATGGATTTTCATTTTACAATTTAGAACATTTAGAATATGGATATTTTCAAAAATATTCTTGAGTAAAAACAAGAAAAAGAATTTATTTACGATTAAACTTACTTTTACATATCATTATGTGATAAATGAAGTAAATTAATGAATATTAGATTGCGAATAAGACCCTTCCGTCAAGCCTACGTGAATCGCTCCACAGACAGGGAACTCTTAAAGCTGACTGTGTACCTCAAGGACATTGCTGAACATTGGGAAGACTTCACCAAGTTGAACCATCGAATGTGGGAGCATTACAAACCATGAAGCCAATAAATCCACACACACACACATTATCTTTTATAAATCCTTTATTCGGCTATCTCAGCGCGCGCGACCATCATTGTACATCCAAGAGCAGGTCGGCATTTCAAAAAGTGAGAAAGAACGCCTAAATGTCAATTTTTATGTGATATTACACATTTTGTTTTTTTTTTTTTCAATATTATAGAATTTATTTTTGTGATAGAAAAAAGAACAAGGAAAATAGCAAATGCCTTAAGTATCAATGCAAAGTATTCAAAAAGTTCTACAGTGTTTTGTTGGGGTTTTCCTTCTCAAGAAAAAATCCATTGAAAATTTGCTACTATACAAGAAAAGAACTCTGGGGAATTTTCTCTAAGAAAAAACCCATATTTTTTCCATAATTGCATTCTACATCTAAAAAGAGTGTGATTTCATATAAATTTGCGAATATTCTTTTTCCTTCTTTTGTTAAAATCTTATTCTGGCTGATTTGCTGACAAAAATTTCATTTCAGAGGATCTCACGCATCTCGTGTTCTCTTTCTCTTTCTCTTTCGCTCTCAGCTTAGAACGCCAAACCGGCATCTCTGTAGGTGGTGAATATCTTCTCAATGGAGTTAACATAGGCGGCAGTTCTCAGATCCAGGCCCAGATTGAAGCGCATGGCCGTCTTCATGATGGCCCTGGCCGACCTCTCCATGGTGTAGTCCAGGCCAGAGTGGACAATGTCCTTCTCAGAAGCACCAGAGATCCTCTTCTGGAAGGCCTCAGATGCAGTGACGGGAATTCGACCGCCAACACGTCCAAAACGACGCTCCAAAGACTCCTGGACAGACTCTGCAATGTAAATCCCCGGTTAGAAAGTTACCTAAACAATCAGTCTCAGCAAAACACTCACCCAAAAGATGGTAGTTTGATTCGCGCTCGTACTTGAAAGTCAGACGACCATACGACACATGATTGAGGTTCTTGAGCCACTCGAAGAAGGACACAGTCACACCACCGGCGTTGATGTACAGATCAGGAATCACAAGGATGTTTCGGTCGATGAGGATTTTGTCAGCAGCTGGAGTTGTGGGACCATTGGCAGCTTCAGCAATGATCTGTAATGTACAGAAAAAAGGAGATATTTAGCTTTAGATGCAGAAGAACATGGCCACATCCGTCAGATATCAACATTTCTGCAACGTTCTTCCTAAAATCGTTCTTATCAGATGAGCTTCGAGAGAAAAGCCTCCTACGTAGTAAGAAAAGAACCCTTCGACACTTGATATTCATCGTAAATTTATTCAATATGATTTTCAGTGATTTTAAACATTTAAAATTAACTTACACATGCCATTCTACTACAGATTATCATATCCAATCCATATTTAAGCTTATATAATAATTCTTATAAGTCAGCCCGAGAAGAAAAGCAAGAGATTCTCTCTACTGCATGAAGTAATCTGGATGATCGGAATCCTTCTCGAAGCGCTTCGCCTCCTCTTGCATGCTCTCCTTAATCTTCAAAATTGCCGCTGATTCCGTATTTTCACCTGGTCCCGCGAATGCGCCCAAGTTGTAATCACCCATGCCACTGCCGGAGTCTTCGCGGGGCGTTCCGGGACCCCCATTGGCCGGGGAGTTCTTCATACCGTCCATACCGTCGCCACTCAGCACTGGGCCCATGTGACCGCCATCCGGCCCGCCGCCCATCGGGAACTCTCCGCCCATGTTGCCTCCGGGCACTGGTTTCATCATCGTGTACATGCTCTCGCCACCCGAATTGCTGGAGTCCTGCGGAGACGGCATGATAGGTGTGCCAGGTCCAGGAGGTCCGCCGTACGTTCCGGGTGACGAGGCGGAGCAAGACGTGTTAGGCTGCCACTGTGGTCGACCCGCAATGCCCATGCCTGGCGGCATACCAGGCCCTGGACCTCCCATCATACTATTGGGCGGTGGGGGACGAATACCGACCGGACCGTAGCCACCGGGGCCACGCGGAGGATTCATGCGCGGATTCATCGGTCCCATGCCCGGTGGTCCACCCGGACGCGTCGGATCCATGTTGTTGGGCATCATCGGCTGTCCTGGTGGCCCATTGAACTCATTTCCCATGCCCTGCGGCATTCGAACACCAGGACGAGGCCCTTGCGGATATCGCGGAGCGCCCATGAATGGAGGGAAGAAGTTGGGTGCCATTGGACCTCCAGACATCCCATCATTGGGTGCCATTTGCCCCAGTGGACTCGGAGCAGGACCAGTGTTGTGTGGCATGCCATTCACGCCGTATCCGGAGCTCACAAAACCGTAGTCATGAAAGGCCTTGGCCTCGCTCGAATGGTCGCACTGATCACGACGCTCTGGAGCGGCGCAATACAGGTCCCAGAAGACACACCACCATGAGTGCAGGAAGCCTGGTGGCTCACCCAGTGTGATGTTTTTCTCCCATCGAATCTCCGACAAGAAAGTCTGCGCTGCCTTCTGTGCGCCTACGTGCAGCAGATATTCGTACACATATAGTGCGAGTTTCTCCCTCGCTTGGGCGTCAGACGGCACCGTGGAATTCTTCGATTTGCCGTACATTTCGTCAATCGCCCAATACACGATACTAAGCAGAAGCTCCTTCTGTGTGAATTTGTGCTCACAAGTAGCGCCCCAGACGAAGAGCGAGGCCCAGAAAAGTGATTTTCTTCGCGACGAAAAAATGGAACTGCACTGTCAAAACACAAGACGCCACGGAAGCTCGACACTCACGCCCTCTGACATTCACTAGAGATGTTCACACTTTATCGATGAAAACGATGAAAATTACTGGGTGTCCTTGGGTGTAGCACAAGGGGTTGCTCAATGCTAAATTTTGTGTCGCGGTATAACTTGAACTTAAATCTCAAAACAAAACGGACAAACCTACTAGTTTTAAATCCCAAATTTTCAAGTACACTCTTGAAAATCGCGTGATATCATTATTTTCTTTGGTTTGGATGTTTTTTTCTACCTACCTTTTATATGATGCTCCTAAAAAGTAAACTTATGACAAAAAATAAACAGTCAAGTTACCAAACTCTTAGAACCCTTTTGAAGATTCCATAAATCTTATCCCTATAATATTGTACGAATAATTGTAATAATATTGTGCGATTGAGATTGAATTTCTTTCTAGATTTATAGAACTACTCGCTGTGAATATTATTTACTTCAGACACTGAAAATATCTCTACTGTCTTATTCTTCTTTCCCCCCAAACCTTACATAATAGCGCGCGTTGTGTTATCCACTTGGCCACATGATCTCGCAAATCAACATAAGCGTGATTCAACTTTGAAAACACATAAATTCCTTCTGTTTTCCATCTGTAAAATCTACATTGAAACCAATTCAAACTTAGTGAATGCATCTTATCCCAACAAATCCCACCAAATACTGCAATATTTACAGAAAATCTCTCTATCACTTTGTCTTTATCTCTCACTCTCTCTCTGTAAAGAGTCGCAGTCTAAAATTAGATTTTGCATGAACTTAGGCCGAATTTCAATGAGAACTCGGTGATAAAAGTGCTTCTCGTCAGCTATAAATACCTTTCTCATGAATATTATTGTGACTTTTTTTCTCGCGCCAGAGATGTACTTTCTCTTTCCTCTGTTCACTCACCTTTGCCTGAATCAGATGAGCATTGTCACTCGTGATGACCTTCTCCACGGCGGCAGGAATAAAGATGTCACACTGCTCGTACATCAGATTCTCACCCTTGTACGCCTCAGCGCCCGGGAAGCCGTTGATGGTGCCGTTCTCATTCCTGTAGTCCTCCAACTCCTTCGGGTCAATGCCATTAGGGTTGACAATGGAGCCATCGTGCTCAATCACGCCCACGCACGTCGCCCCAGCGCGCACCAGGTAGCGGCATGTGTGCAGACCCACATTACCGAATCCCTGCACGATGAAGGTCTTGCCACCCCATCCCGGAGTTGTTCCAATCATACTCATGTAGTTCGCCTCATTGATGAAGTTCTCCAGCCCGTGGAAGACGCCGCGTCCAGTGGCGGACACGCGGCCGTGAATGCCACCCTGGTTGATGGGCTTTCCCGTCACACACGCATGAGCATTGATGTCCTGATGGCCGATCGTCTTGGCGTACGTGTCGGCAATCCAGCTCATTTCGCGCTCACCAGTACCCATGTCCGGAGCCGGAACATCCACGCCGGGTCCAATGAAACCCTTCTTGGCCAACTCCAGTGCGAAGCGACGCGTGATCTTCTCCAACTCGTGCTCAGAGTAGTTCTTGGGGTTGATCTTGATACCCGCCTTAGCGCCACCAAATGGCACATCGACACAAGCGCACTTGAACGTCATCAGAGCCGATAAAGCCTTCACTTCGTCACGCGACACGTCCATCGAGAAACGAATACCTACAATACACCAAAAAGAACGCACATGATGATATTATCATGAAGATATTTGATCTGAACTAAGAGGCAGATTATAAAAAAGGAAACATGTAAGCAAAAAATGTGCCATTTTACATTCTTCTACTAATGTACAATAATTGTGTTAGAAAAAAAAAAACAATTCAGGGGACAATTAATAGACCTTTATTTCGCAATGAAAATAAAAATCTATTTGTTCACCTCATTTTTCCAATCAGCACTTCAACAACTCAAGTTTGTAAGCTTGTTGATTCATCTTGAATCACGATAATTGCCTGAACAAACGCTCCCTCTGGCTTGTTTATCAGACGGAGACAATAATTGACAAATAATTTCATTAACACACTAAAAGAGACCCCTTAGTTACAGAGATATCTCAAAGCAAAATCACAATTTATATTCCTCTCCTATAGACGGACAAGAAAAGAACAGAATGTAGGAAAAAATTACGACAAAAAGAAAGATACAATTTCGGCAGATCACTTCGCTTTAATCTTCACGAGGTCAATTGACATGATTCACCTCTGAATAATCAAGTCAAGATAGGCAATGAATATGAGGTCGTTTTTCCTGTCTGAAAACTCCTGCAGTAGCCTTATGAAATCTACACCTCGCTGCGGATCATCAAAATCCCACACTCGACGAGTGACCCTTATCGTGGGGAAGAGAGCGACTCTTATGTAACAATTCAATAATAAAAGCGTGTGGCTGTCAACAAGGCACAAATTTATGATTGCCTCAGCGCGCTTTTGTGCGCGCCAAACGCGATAAGAAGAATTGGGAGAAACACTTGTCGAGGGGCTGCACTTTTGCCAGATGTTGTTGGTGGTCGACAGGAAATGGACAGAAAAGTGGCATGACCGAGAGACTAAAGAGGCTTGTTCATTCGCTGAGACGCTGACACACCCCTCAACACAAGTTACAATCGATTAAAGCTCAATTTGTAAGAGACATACATATATTGAAAGGAAACCGATGCTCTTTGGCTTACAAAAATGCCGTTCGCGCATGTCAGATTAAATAGTCATAAAATACTCTCTAGTTCACACAATCTTTCAACGTGGATTTACCCCCTGGATTTTCCAATATTACGTCTTGTACCTATAGTTTTGATAAAGTTAAACTTCCAGCAATTTAGTAGTGAGATCAAGAGCAACACAGATAAGAAATGTGGCATGTGAGATAGTCACACGCTCGGTAAAAATGCACAAAGCCTTCCTCAAGTTCTCTATCAAGGTCTTCTCACACAGAAAGAAAGAAAGAATGGGTACAAAAGAGAAGAGATTCTTATTATCGGTTTCATGTGCACGGGCGAAAGTGATAAAGATTCATCGTACTGGCTAAAAATACTCTCATTGGAAAATCAATCAGTCTGAGAGAAAGAGAGCGAGAGAGAGAGAAAAATTGCTGCCCGCCTCGATCCTCAATTCGCTTTCTATACACACATACCCAGAAACTCTCACTGGGCAACTCGCAATTAATTAGAGATGGTGAGACATATTACATAAAAGTTGATATACTTTCGAGGAAACAGGTGAAAGACGCATGGCAACGCGAAGACGATCTGATACAAATTGATCACACAGAGAATAAAACCTGTTCAAAATGCTCGATGACCAACTCAGAGCAGCCCAGAGTGTGTGGAAGAGACCTTGGAACGTGTTTTCGCGGTACACGCGGCTCAGACACTTCTGCTGATGTTCATCATCTCCCGCATGACAAATCTCACACACTCACACCTCGGGCGATAGAAATAGAAGTGCAGAAGATTGAGGAAAATTTCTCACTCTCCGAGAGACAACTGAAGTCACGAGACCCTTGCTTCTGACCCACATTTCTCATACCAAACAAGAGCAATTACACATCGCTGTGCTCCAGACTCTTGCGTAGAGGAATATTTTGAATGACAGAGAATCCATTGGCCTATAAGGAAGTGCCATAAATTGTATATTTTCCGTGGCCATTAGAATTGAAATTGATCATGAATGCTAATAAACCCAGTCGAAAATTTGCGATAAGCGCGAAACAGACTCGGTTTCACATTTCAATTTCACATTGAACTTGATAATTTCCGTCTATGATGCAAAAATGTCGAGATCGAATCTATAGAGAAACTGAAACTCGTTTTTTCACCATATGCAAAAGCACATGAACTCGCGTTTTCGCTGATTAAAAATCTAGTTCAAACTGAATAGGTTCCATCACTTGAATTGCAGTAGTCAAATAGCAGACGGGATAGTGATTTTGTGTATATTGCTGCCCAAAAATGCTTTCATCACACGTCAAATTCCATGAGTTCGAGGCTAACAACCTTTCAGAAAAGCAAAGAGATAGTTCTGTGGTCATCCGGCTTAATTCAGAGATATGAAAGACCTTTATCTATCTTCCTTTTACCACTCAATTTAGTTACTTCGAATATTATAATATATTTGCACTTAAAGATATGTACGAATAATGCGCATGGCAACTGCAATCACAGACTGATAAAAAAAGTGTCACTCTTTATCTTTATATCTCAGAAGATCACACTTTTGGCTAACAAACTTCCGAAGTGATCACAGAAATTCCTCATCTAAGCAACTTTTTGGTCTACACATACAAAAAAAAGAACCCATTAAATCCGGCTATTTACGTCATTTCGTCACACATTCTCAAGCCCAGATAGAGACTGAGATGCGAAGTGAGGTAATCAGTGCATGTCTGGATCACATGAGAACACCCGGGACTGGAGAGACTCACCTCCTTTCGTGGGTGTCCTGTGGGTGCTGTGCTGGGCACGATAGCCGAGGATCATCTCGTAATCGCCAGAGTCACGCCTCAGCGGGAAGGAAATCTCGATGATATGATCGCAATTTTGCATCAGCATGAGAATACCCTTGACCTTCTTCTTCTTCTCCTCGGTGCTGATGCGCCCTTTCATCTCCTCCACCAGCTTATCCTCGGCCACTTGGCAAGCGCGATGGAAGAAGAACTCCACCATGTCGTAGAACTTGGGATTCTTGGCCGTGCCCACATCCTTCAGTCTATCGGGAATCTGGTGATCGGCGTAGCCGCGTGACACTTGCCAGCACGCCACTGGGGCACTCCTGGCCACTGCAGCCAGCTCCGTCCGCACGGCCGCGTGTCGAACAACGTTTCTTAGGTGGAACATCTCTTCTCTCTCTGTGTCTCTTCACGATATGAGCAGAATAACCAGCACCAGCCACAGCACGACCAACACTGAAAGTGTATGACGGATTATGCCGTGAACAAGTGTAAATTTAAAATTAGCACGTGGACAAAAATGGGACACATCGCTGGAGGATTCTGTGGACATTGGTTGTTGTCTAAATGAGATTAGTTATCAGGGACTCATCGATTTTTTCCATCCACCCGATTTTCCGGTGAAAAACTCAGATTTCCCACAGGAAACTTCGAGATTAACTCATGTAGCTATATAACGAACCATTGGGAAGCTTTTTGTGCAGGAAAATCAAGAAATATCAACAGATAATTACCTTTTTCCGCACAAATTCACTCGCGAGAAACTCACTCACACGATACACTGACAATCGATGACTACCCAGTGAATCTAGCGGACAAAAGAGGCATAATTTAGAAGTATACTATGTTTACGCTAATCTCCGTTAGGGGAAAAACTCTTGAAGTTTTGATATCGAAAGAGGTTAGGAAAGAGTGGTGTTTCCCTTTCCGGGGTTTTTATCTGTTACCTCGCGCATTTCTGGGATAAAAGTCCTCACAGGGCAGTGAAAATGAATCAGGCAGATGTGTCGAAGCTGGTGTCACAGCTGAAGTTTGCCATTCGGCCGAAGCACAGAAAATTATCATGCCCAGACGGTCCGGAAGGGCGAATGCTGAAGCTGCGAAAGACTGTCACGGCACTCCTTATGAATGAACGACTAGAGTTGAACTTTGCCAGGGCGGATGAGTCTCGAGGATACGCAGAGCGGGTAAGAGCAGACTGGAGAGATTCTTAAGCAATGCTGACCACTTTTCTTTTACAGCTCATTAGTGAAGCCATTCGGCATGGAGACTGCCACAAAGCAACCATGGAACTGGCGGACTTCTGGCTGCTGGAGAAGCAGTGCGTCCACAAACTATTCAAGGTGCTGGTGCCGCGCTATGAGAACTACAACGTCTCCTTCACGCGCATGTATAAGGCGCCTCGGGATTATCCTGGATGGCACTATAAACGGGCAGTTCTAGAGCTGCGCGGCAATCCCTTCCCGCCTCTTGTGCCGGACAAAGTGCTGAACAGGAACTTCATTCACAATGTACTGCTGGACGAGGCCAAGAAGGCGTACCGTTTCGAGAAGTACGCGGAAATCTCCAAGAAAATGAATGTGACTGAGAATCTGAGCCAGGAAGCAAAGGATGACGGCGGAAGCAGTAGCGAGGATGAGGTGGAGAGTAAGAAGTAGCCTTATAGTCAATCTCTGTGTAGATTCTAGTGTAAATAAAGTGGTAAATAATGAATATTCATCTTTTCTTTGGACCCAATTAATTGGGAAGCTTTGAATTTCTTAGAAAATCACACGCTTTAATTAAGTACTCATGAGATTATATTCCTCTTTTCTCTTGCGATTTATCATAAAATACAATATGCGCTGCATAGGTAAATTACGCTTTCCAAATTTTCAGATAATTTTCACTGCAATCGGTCGCGGATATTGTAAATGACAAAGAATTAGTTGCGGAAACAATCTTGATATCTATTAGGTTTAGCAGTCTTATATATATAGTTATTGATCAGTCCAGATTAAGTCGGATTGTGAATTTCTTTGGATGGCTCTTAAGCAATCTTAATAAGCCCTTATTTTAAGCTTAAGATCGTTCAGATATAAGAGTGATAGCGCAATTATTACGTCTCAAACTAAGGAATATGTTTCCATAGAATTCTTTGAATGTTACTTAACAAGAGCAAGAATAACAACAAATTGATTCTATTTCAAAAAGCATGACAACACCTCTTGATGATTCACGTGAGAATCTTCAGCTCTTTGAACTCGTCAAGACTATAAATGCACTTTCAATATATTCAAGTGCACTCAATAATTGCATTTGATATAATGATTTTTTCTTGCAAACAACAGTATAATTGTATAATTAACAGTTTTATTCGATGGCGAATCATGGACTTGATTTGGACGACTTTGATTCTCTTCATTATCAGAGAGAAAAGATGCTGGGAAAATCATGGGTGTGCGCATAATGTGAGAAGACTGTGCTGTCGTTTGAGGGAGTGTCCGTGAGGAGTGTATAATATACCGTATATACTGCCTAGTATGGTGGGCAAGTGTGCGTTATGGCGAGGGTATAAAGAACCATGAATGGTCGTACTCCGATTCACTCTTGTCGCAACAGTCGAATAGATCGGAAGCAAAGTGCCGCAGTGAAGCGCTGGTGAAAGAGAGGAAAAAATCAAGTAAATAAGAGATAAAGTGATTGAGTGGTGAATTGACTAATCACACCCGCCTAGAAGTGAGTGGATTTGACTGAAGAGACACCGAGGAAGATCGTTAGAGCCCTAAAATTGCCGAGGAAAGGAAAAAGTGTGAAGGAGCGCAGAATTGGTGCACATAGGACAAGTACATAAGTCCATCGTGCTGTGGTAATTTTCCACTGTAGTGCGGTTGTAAACGTACGGAGAGGAACTCCTTCAATTGGGGTCACACAGCACAGAAAAAACATTGACTACACTCATCCTCGTGTGTGAATTCTGGAACTTTCCATTCAACCGTCAAAAATTTGTTGAGGGCAAGAATATCTTGTGCGTTTTGTGACAAAATATTGATTTTTGCGTGAGAAAAAATTGTCACGGATTCTCTTCGAGACCATCGAACAGACACAACGACATCCACAGAGCGATTGAAGGCCAGAAGAATACCCCTGCAGAGATTTTCGAGGGATAGGTCACGGAATCTGGACAAAGATGGCTTTTATGGTGCCTGTGATGAAGAATGAATTCAACATCTACAAGACGGACCGCAATAGACGGATAAGTGAGTGCTCGAACAGCTCCAGTTGCCGATCGCGGAAGGTGTCGGAGAGCTCGAGGTCTGAGGGGCCCAGTTTGTCCACGTCTCCCGCCAGTGACTTTTGCATGGGCTCACCGAGTCAGCGCAACTACTCCATGAATCGCAACACATCGCGCGGCTTCTCCAGGAATTCCTCGAGGACGTCCCAGAACTCCCTGATGAGCCCCACGAAAACCACGAGCGTGGGCTGCAGTCCGCCCAAGCCCTCGAGCTCGGGCAGCCAGGGGAGCCTCAACAAATTCCACAACCGTCTCGTGGACAAGCTGAAGAAGACCCTAAGGCGCGACGGTAGCCGAGAGGAGAGTCGCTCTTGAGACAACTCGCTGGACAATGCCGGAGGATCAGCGTGCGCGGAGCCACCCGTCACGCCAGATAATGCAACGCCCAAGAAGGGTGCAGTGCAGAAACTCGGCAGGCACGACACGAGGTAAAATCTTAGGCCTCTTTCAGTGTCCAGATCAACAATATTCTAATCATCAATACTTTTGCATACTATAAGATCACTTCTTAGACTTAAAACTGTAGTGTTATGTGCTAAAAACGCAAGATTGCGACCTAAACCGCTCTGTATTGACATTATCAGTAGAATCGCTAATTGGCTGCATTATTACGCAAATGAATGCGCTGTTTTATATTTGTTTCAACTCAACAGCGTATTCGCCAGGAAGTGTGATACTCGACTTCCTGGGCTACAAATAAGGATTCAAATTCAAATTGACCTGTTCTCAACTCTTTCTCTCTTTGACTTAGTGTTTAGTTTAAGTGTAAGAAAAATTCTGCCTAGCAGAAAAATCCACCGCAGGAAACATTGAAAGCTCACACGCCTAAAGGATTCTATTGTCCTTGCGAAATTTATAGTCAAGGTGAGATTTTTCATTGCGACAAGGTGAAAAAATTTATAAGACTTCTTCTGCATATCTTTCGTGTCACGAGAAGTGCTAATGTTGTTACGCAAAAAGTTCACTAAATATCCCAATTAGGGAGCTAAATTGAGTGTCACAATGCTTGATGTTGTTGAGCGGCATAGAAGCAAACACTAATAATTGGAAGTTTAGAAGTAGAGTAACGCATTTTTTTCTATAATTATTTTACAGAAATCTTTTTCTCGAGCTTTACCAAAATTCTGTCTATTTTTCTGATGTTTGTCACTATCACAAATTTTTGGGTTGGGATTTACTGATTCTTTGGCCTTTTTTCACTATTCAATCACTATATTTCCTTTCCCATTCGGAAGAAGAACAAATCATGACTGGATTCAGTAATTGTTCTAACTGACTTTACAGATAGAACTAGCAACTGAAGCCAGACATGATGTGGAAAATTCGTGTTAGTCGGTGTTCGACGAGAGAAAATTTGCTTTTATTCCCTATAATAATATTGTCTGTGGGAATAAAGTACCATTAAGACACACGAATTGCAAGTGTTAGAGCTTGCAATGCAACAAGAATGCTAAATAACATCGCATTAGGAATAACTATATTTCAGAATATGATAATTAACTTATTTTTGGAGTTTGCAGCATCACAGCAAGTGCTTAATGTTGAAAATTATTTACAAAAGAATATCTTCTACTGTTATGATGAAAAATATATTTACACGTCGTGTTAATGAGAAAAGAAAATATTGATAAAATTCACGTGTGGCAAGATCCTCACCATTTTATAGTGAATTCACAGCTCAAATTACCAATTACAATTTTCCTTTTTTGGTGGAAAACTCTGTGAAAAACATGTTGTAGAGAGGAGTACAAAAAAAACTTTAATGCCACTGTCACTGTCCATTTTTATCATGTCTCTTTTTCTACTCAGGTTTTTTTTATATCACTTTGATGGAAAAACGATGAAATTTCACAGCAATTGGATGAAAGAAAAATTTTTGTATAAATTCATACATTGGAAAATGACAATAATTTTTCTTGAGGGAAACATGTCTCAATCCAGAAGAGAAGAAAAATCATGCGTCATGTTTATCCACATAAACAGAAGATTCTTGATTAACTTTCACTTCACAAATTTTTTTGTCTTTGGTTTGATGCATTACCAGAAAAGAAGTTGAAAAGAAATTCATGAAAATGAGAGAAACAAATATTATTTATTGAATTTTAATGATAACACAGCTGTGATATGAAAAGATTTACTATATATTTGAGGAGAAACAAAAAAGAGAATTAGTTTAAAGCGTATTTGTATATTATGTATGTGCAAGTTGAGGAAAAAGAACGGCGCTGAAGAAATTTGATGAGAAGAAACTGAATCTATTTATATTATATTTAAAAGCAAGAAAAAATTCGTACAGCTTTATTGTGATGTACGTAAGATATAATGGAAATATATATGATACGTGTTTAACACATATTTATATACATTTTCACCCGAAACTTTGATAATACCAGTGACTCTCCAAGGCGAAACGTCAGACGCGTTTCCTTTGCGCGAGAGAACGACAAATCGAACCATGGAAAAATGTTCCACATACAGAACAAAAAAAATCAATGAGGATTATAATTAGCCATATCAGAAAAGTTGTATTACTTTGGAGAGAAAAAGGAGAATCACATTTTAGTTTCACGTCATTTTCTTCTCGTCCCCAAACTTTCTGGCTGACAAAAGTATAAATTCAATGGAGTTTTAACACGCGTGTACCCATTCTGCTGACTTAACAATATTATAATAGACCTTAGCATAAAAATGAAATATTATAAGATATTAGATATGGAAGAAGGGGAAAATCTGGAGAATCACAGTGAAAATTTTTATTGATATATACTTTTCAATTCAAAATTAAACTTTTTACCTTTTCCTTCAGTGTAACATTCCAATTAGAGTTGTTTAAAAAATATAAATTTTACTCCTTCATCAGATCATCCTTAATTCATAGGTACTGTTTTTTGTATAACTACATTGTTTAGTTGACATGTAAAAGTGCTAGTCACTTTATTTACAGCCAAGTAAGCTTTTATTTGATGATTAAAGAAAATCTTAAAATTGTGAATTTTTTTGAAATAAAGAATGCAAAACGAATTGAACCAATTATCACACAAAGAGTCGTGTTTTATTCTCGATATCGTCCATTCAAGTTTACTGCCAAAAGAGCCGGAATGTTGATGTGGTCCGCAAATTCGTGGGAGTGCAGGAGGTGGAATTGCCACCATTCGAGTGGGTGGCATCAATCGACGTGGTGTAATGAAAGGGGAAAATTTCTTGAAAAAATGCCAAAAGACTCGATTATATTGCGGGATAAAGACGTGAAAATATGCAAATGGCGAAGCTGAAAGGTACTATTTTTAGACCATCTCTGTATTCAACACAGGAATTCACGAGGCGTCCATCCGCTTTTCATCTGACCATGTTTAACAACTGTTTCGCTACGACATCGTCTAGGAGCACAAGGTTGTAATTTTTCACACGAAATACCCTTCAGAGCTCCAAATGACTGTATATAGAATTGATTTTCCTACAAGTAAGGACAAAATAAATTAAACATCAGCAAGGGCGTAGTAAATTCGTAGAGTTTCGAGATACGAATAGAAATAGCGTGATGGTGGATCAGCTGAAGACAATTTTGCTATCTTTAGCGTTATAGAGGAACTGTGACAAAGAAAAAGGTTCAAAATTCAAAAGTTCTCACACATACCATGCTCAATCTATTCAAATTCATCGTTTAATTAAACACTCTTCCCACCATATCCTTATATACGTACATAATAATGTATGTATTAGGAGAAATAATTGAAAGAAAGGCAGAACAGATTTGGCCACACAGCGGAGGATGAAATTACCACGCAATCAAAGGTATATTATTATAGTCTTGTGGTAAAATTATAATTAATTTTAAAATACAATTTACAACTTCTGATTTTCCAGTTCTTATTTGTAATCAAACTAAAAGAAAAATTCACTTTAGCAAATTCTTGAGCCAAAGCCTCTTCTCAAAAATGTTTAATTTATAGTTATACAAGTTGTAAAGGATTTTTCAAAGGCACAAAAGAGGTAAGTCGACTATTCTTCTCACATCAATTACGTGGATTTGACGAACAACTTTTAGCGAAGCATAAAATATTCCTTAAACTCGAAGTCACTCTGAGGGACTGAGAATTTTGCCGTGTGACTAAAAGTTTACTTAGAGTTTGTTCAGTCTCAAGAGCTTTATGGAAAATTTCCGCACTTCCACACCACACAATGTATAAATCTTGTGTATTGATTTGTTCTTAGCAATTATTATCTATTACATGATGTTTATACAACTTCAAGATTTCAATGGCACTGTTATTCTTGATTTATGCGAAGGATAAGAACTTTGACGGGAAAGTGGTTGATTCAATGACCTGCAGAACAAACACATTCTTCATCCTTGCCATCAGAGGTCATCTGCCTCTCAGATCGTGAGTAATAGAAAGCCTTCCTCGTGCAACTCTTTCTCTCTGTGACCAATGACTCTGAAATCACCTGCGCTAGAAAGTTTCAGAGAGCTTCTCAGCGGAATTTGATGGGTAAGGCCACACTCTTGCCCAATATTTCCATTTCGCGCGGGATATTTGGCCGCTTGCGAGAGTGTGTATGTGCAGAGAAATGAGGCCTAAAGGGAATATTTTGAGAGTGTGGAATTCAATATACAGAAATTTCAAGTGACCTTGCCTAGGCTGAGAACGGCGAAAAAGAGTGACGATGAGTCGTTGGTTGAGGTGAGGAAGAAGGGCGAAGCTGCGGCAAGAAAAGTGCTATAGAACCGGCTCTTGCGCTTGGTGCGGGTTGAAAGAGCAAAAGGAAGGTAATTCAGTCAAAACAGAGAATCAGATAGAGAATGTCGAATGGAAAATTCCACTCACGCATACTAGCGCATTATCGGTTCATGAATTGGCCGCAGAGAAACAGCTCTTCGAATATAGCGAGTTGCATAAAAACTCGCAGCTTTTTACACCATATGTAAACACCAGCTCTTTATGTATTGAATGACTCTCTGTTTAAATAAAACAACTCAGAGGTTTGACACCTTGTACTTTACAAGTTTATCTTGCATCTGCATTTATTCTTGCAGGACGCCTAATTCTTTATGTCACACACTCTTTGTGTCCAAAGAGATTATGGAAAGTTCCAGGGACATTATGAGAAACATGAAAATCTGGCAGAAATTTTATCGATTGCAGAGAGAAAAGAAGTATTTTGCCTGTCCAGTGTGATCAAAAAGTTCTTTGTGCAGACGCTTTATGGAAAATTTCATGTGCAACTCCGACCATAAGAATTCCTGTGGTGGGTGGAACACAAAAAGTCCGATAAACTCGCTCTGAAACTTGATTAGCGTGACAACATTTGGTGCCTTATCTACTATGTTCTGCGGTTCTGTCTTGAAATATGACGATAAATTAGTGGTACTTGCGAAATACATAGATGATTACGTGCCATTTGTTCTTGAAACAAATCACAATGACTATATACATTGATCTGTCGCTTTTTGCCACTTAAGCGGCTCCAGACGAAATGGAAGTGTTTGGAATACTTCAATCATTTGGTCACGGTTAATCAATTGATGACGCCGAACGATTTGTCAACGCGAGACGAGGAATATTCATAAAATAGGGCTTTTACTAGAGCTCTTCGTCCATTTTATCAGGCAGTAAATTGCACTCGATTGCGGCGTAAATCTCCTAATGACACTATCAGGTACTCGGAACGAATTTTTCCACGCGCCATTTGTCTCTAGAAAATGCACAATTACGATTATCACTCATTGATTCAGTTCAGTGGAACACAATTTTACTGCGAAAATTGTCTTGAATGCCAGTTGAGTGTGGATCCGATTGATATCGTTCCCGACGGAAGCCAGTTTCATCCAGATTTTGGGCGATTATTGTTCCAGTTTAATGATTCTAATTCTTGGAATGTGAGAAATGTGGCAAATGTTCAGTTTTTTCCATACACTTTGTGTGTTAATATTTACTTCTTATTTACATTCCTATTATCATACTTGTGGAGACACTGAACCATTTTCCACATGCGTTTGGCATTGTGAAGGCCTTTTCAGATAATAGGGAAGAGTTGAGCTAATTTGGATAGCATCTCAGAGATTTACTAATGAAAATTTAGTGTATTCTGAGTATCTAGTTATCGGTTATTGTGAAAAGAAGAAAATACATTTATTGTTATACAGTTATTGCACATTAGAATTATTGTAATTTTTAAATAGAGAGAGAAAAAAGAAGCTGAAAACATTTCCAAAGTCAATTTTAATCAATTTCTGTCTTCAGCAATTCATTTTGTCACGCAACTTGAGAATAATTGGAAACTCTTCTGAGAAACACTTCAATGCATTCGCAATTGCCCAGCACTCTCCTAATTGCGTCACATGATTTTTAGAAACCAACGAGGAAAAGAGCTAAATTATACCTACGTTTATCTTAATTATGTTTGCTAAAATCTTTATTGTGTGTCATCAGCAATTGAGTCGAAGAATGAATTTGCAAAAGCTGCAGAGATGGAATGGGAAAAGCATACTTGTGACTCAGAGAGAGCGAGAGAGAGAGAGCTTTCAGCTGAGATTGTCTCTTGTGTCGCGCGAACACGCAATGCGAGATTTTCTTATGCAAAGTCATGGCAGTAAATCAAGAAGAATATATTGTCTTTACAGTCATTAATTTGCAGACTGACTAGACTCTCCAATGCGTATTTATAGTTCGATCGGCAATTTATTCAATTCCTCTGTTCCTTGGCAAATAAACTTAATTGATAAACCGTAAGTGTGAACACAGAGCAAGTCGCGTGGTGCAAATCATGAGTTTTCCTTGGTATCTCGCAACTCCACGTGATTTAATTGCTTTATTTTCCATCTCACACGACACTGGAATTTTTTAAGAGCGTCTCACGAGTTATCTGGGGGAGGATTGCGCGAGTCGGGAGACTCATGTTTGCTGAGATAACAGATATATTCTTGCGCTGCGATGCTTATTTAATTACTCGCTTTTTTAACCTTATCTCGATGATGGCTATAAATAACTTGGACTGGGGAATAAACACCGAACAGTATCATCTTGGTGTTATTCTATTCATAGCTTTTCACACAATTAATTTGATGTCACAAATTAATCACGAGATGAATGTGGAACCTGATGCTGGTGAGCTTTGACGTCGAGACGCAGAATGGGAAGTGAAACAGGTAGTGTGTTGCTGGAATTGGGCAGAGAAATACAAGCTAGACTAATTGAATTTTAGTTCATACCTATTTTCCTTCATGCGAGCAATTCTGTCGGCTGCCGAGAGTATTGTGAATGATGAGAGCAATCGGCGTCTGGCCATGTCCTTGCGCATTCCAAAAATAACCACATGACCATTGTCAGGAGAGATTGTAGACTTCTAAAAGCGACTTCGCAGCTTGAACTCTCTAAATCTCAGTACTCTTGTAATCAAGCTGAAAGCTTATATTCGCTGACAAGTTTGCATATAAAGTGTTGGGAGAAGAGCAAAAAACAACCTGCATCCTATGACTATGGAATTATAAATGCGCAATTGCGCCTTACATAGTCGTCAGGAATTGCTTTCCATTTTATTATGCATTTATGATGGTTATAGCAATAGAATTCATTTCACATTCCACGCTGGCCTGCCAGGAATCTCAGCTCTCATGTGAGGCGTGAGATTAATAAAGCGCCAGATCATCATGTTCTTTTATATTTTTCCACATTCATTCTGACATTCACCTTCCTGCACCCTCGTGGCGGTTGTAAAAAATTGTTTATCTTTCTCGAGGAGATGAAAGAGAACGTTTGCTAATTTCTCTGGGAATGCCGAAGAGAAAAAAGAGAGTAAAACACCCGAGAGGCAAATAACTTCATTATCGGCTACGAAAACGAATCAAAGATAATTTTCTTGACCTGCAACAATGTGAGATACAACGGTAATTTCTGAAAATGGTAATCTTTCACTTTGTTGAACATGAATGAAACTTTGTTGTGCTATGCTGAGTTCCGAGAGTTGTATCCTTGTTTGATGCCTGCTTTGCACATGGAGTTGCTGGCCAAATAACCCACATTGTATTGCGTGATGTGATGGATGAAGGTCGAAATCGTTGAAATTTTGACCGGAAATATTATCAAACCTCGCCTTCAATCTCAAGGAGCTCCTCTTTATTTCCACGAAAACAGCATCTTGAACTCTCTTCATATAGAATAGAATTTATTCATATCACTTTTCCCTGTCTTACTTTTTTTACTAATTTTCCCACCTCTTGAGCGCCTTCCGTGCAAACATGTGACGCGAAAATAGACGCGTTCTCGCCAAATTTCAATGGCGAGCAGAATTTATTAGATATTTATTTTCACGTGACACGCGGGAATTTATCTGGCGTCTAATAAGCGCGACTTCTTCCTTGAGTCACAGAATTGGCCTCTTTTTGTGATAAAATCAGTCCTCATCTGCAATTCTGTGCTGTTCATAAAGTAATTCCACTTGATTGGCGTGTATTATTGGAGCGAGCAATAATGGTTTTAGCACGTTGACACGAAAATTGTGCGGTTAAGCTGAGGGAAAGCGCAATAAAATTATCAGGTGTTGGTTTAAGTGGTTTATTTTGGGAATTTCACTACATTCCTCGGCAAGCTTAAAATACATCGAGAGGTTTGTAAATATTGCTGCATTTGATGATCTGATTTTCAGCTACATACATGTCGAATGGTCAGAACGTAAACATCCCTCTAAATTGCTATGCGGCGTGGTCGAGGTGGCAAAAGTGTGTTTGGTAGGAATGGCAAACAATCGACTGAGAAAATTCTCATAAACGGTTTAATATTGTGGGCAAATTATACTACGCATTGTGTGATTCAATATGGCGAGACATAGCTTTGCGTATCACCTCCCATCGCCCATCATCATTATCAGCAATTGAGGAACTTTCAGGGTTGTCAGCTGAATGGCACAAAATCTTAACTGACGTGGGCAAATTCAATGGCGTTAAATGACTTGATAATTTTGGCGATAACATAACACAATTGCAATTTGAACTCTGGCCATTCTGCCCTCTTGAACCCCTGGGTTTTCCATGAATTTGTTTCAAAATATTTCTATCATTGGATCTCATTATGCTATCTTATTACGCATTTCTTTTTGCACACATATTACAAAGATTCTACAAATTTAGTAAAGCCTTAAAAATGCACAATCAATTTTATTTATTTATTTTCACAGTCTTGCAGTTGAAACCCAAAGCCATCAATTTATATGCATTAAATCCATCAAAGCTCTATATTTTGCTAGGGATATTTGCACGAAAGTTGCGTGTGGGCAGAGTGAAATCAAAGGGTTTCCTCCTTATTGAAAGTTGACGCCACATGTAATTTCTCGGCAATTTCCTCCTCTTTGAATACGCATCACAGCATCCCTTTGGCAATGTTGATTTCAGGATAATTGTGTTCTCTTTGCTCGATGCCTTTGAAATGAAATTCAATACGGAATTGCAACATGACAACAAATCAAAGGCCAGAGAAGCTGAGCATTTCGTTACTTCAGCATCAATGCAAATTGCTGACTAACCATTTGTTTGCGCGGTTATTCAATTATTTACTCCACAGTGTGTGTCCTTATCAGACAAAGCTTACAGGCTGTTAATTAATTAGCGGCAACGATAAGTGCAAACTGTTTACTCCCAGCGGCGATCTAATTATAAATTTACCGCGCGATTTGCCATGGAGGCGCCTGGTGAAAGCTCATTCAGTCATTCTTCTGATTATGACGACCTTGCCGAGGTGTATCTTTACGATGCTCATTCTTGGTCAACGATGTGCCCCCTTTTCGCGGTAATTGCTTTATTCGACGTGCGCTTTCTTGGTGCGGGGCGTAAAAAGTGAGACGCCATGAGCGTCACAGAGAGCACCAATTAGGCAGTGAGTGTGTGATTCCCACTTGATTGTCGCGAGTGCAGGGGAAACAAATAAATAGATTGAGGCTGATGATCACCGGGTGCGAGGGGAAAAGGCGCCATACCATTGTGTAACTCAACTGGCAAACAAAACAATTCTCTGGCTTCTATTTCCGTACCTAACCAGCATTTCTGGTTCACACCGGCTTGCGATTCGCCATCCGTGAGAGATAATGGTCACCAAAGTCCTGTGGGTGCGCGATTAGGCGTCGTGACGAAGTGAACACATACTTATGGCGACACGAGTTGGCGATTCTCATGATGGAATCTCGGCGTGGTGCGATATTTTTGGGATCGAACATCTTCGTCCCAGAGAAGAGACTTGTTTTCATGTCAACGCTATCAACAAAAATACCACTGCCACGTCGCACCACGAATATTCATCATATTTGCTTCTATATTTGGCATCGATTCATAATTGAAAAGAAATGCGCGATAATTTTTGCACATAGTATCTTCGCATGACACTCTTGAAGGCAATCTATTTTGCTCTCAATTGAACCATAAAGTCATACATTTCTTTGAGAATTGAAGCGAGACTTTTGGTCAATTAACAAACTTGTCTTCTGTTAGAATCAGAAGGTCTTCATTGGAAAGTGACGCACTTCCAATTGCCGCTTGTCACTTTATGAACTCATCCGCATTGTGGCAGTGTTGTCCGGCGAGATGATTCAGTGCTTGCGGTGTATGCAAATTAATGGATATTATTTTGCTGGAAGTGATTCGTTAGAAAGAGCGTTGAGTTCAATTCAAGGACTGCCATACCGACATATCGATTGTCGGCTGTCGAGTCGACCTTTTCGCGAGCCATTCTCAGCCAACTTCAGTTCGTGGAAAAATTGACAGGCTATTTGTTCTATTTCGTGATATCGCGTGGCATTCAAGTGTGTTTTTCATCGCGAATTCTGAAATTGTGTCGCATTTTTCAGTAATAAAAGAACATGAGCAACATGCAGAAGTTCAGGGGTGGTCGAGGAAACAGGAGGTTCCACCAGAACAATGGAGGAGAGCGTTTCCAGAAATATCGCGACTATGACGGTGAGTGAACACGACAGCCATTTTTCTTTTATGTGATTTTTATAGTCAAATTTTGTTTGTAGAGCACGATGACCGCGGTGAATTTCCCAATAACTTCCAGCGCAACCCTAACAAGGGGAGAAGGGTTAGTTTCAAGCCGACTGGGCGGCAAGGGAATCGTCACAAGTTCTCAGAAGAAACCATCCGGAGCATTTTGGAGGAGGACGATGACATGACTCCCGGAAGCGCTGGAGGTTCGTCCCACTTTCAACGTAATCAGGTGATTGAATTTCTCTTTTTCGTGTGAATTTGGGTGACTAATGAGGCTATTTTGCAGACTCGTGGATCTTTGCAAGCTCGCCGACGAGGATCTCCTGTTCCGCGACGAGGAGGCTTCAGTGGCCCTGGAAAGCGTCGTTCGAAGCTCGTCGCTGGTACTTCGGGTTGGTACCAAGTGGTCATTCCGCACGGACATCAGTACCCCAAGGAGACGCTGTTCAAGCAAATCCTCAGCAACATTCACCCAGATATCTTTGTGCCGCACTATTTCGCCACCGAGGGCAACGGCTGTTCCTTCTTCGTGGACGAATTTGACACGGCCAACAGGCTGTACAATAGCAACATCATCCAGATGCCCACAGGCCAGACGCTGCACATGAAGGTGTACAGCAGCGTGCCAAACGTGAATGTGGACAGCAATCTGAAGGAGCGCATCAAACAAGCCATGGCGAAGCGCTACAACGCACAATCGCGAATGCTGGACCTCACGAAGTTCCACGCGGACTCTGATCTGCAGGACATCTTCGTAGGGCTGTCGCGAGTGTCAATTATGGGGGCGGCGATTGAAGTGATCGCCGCGAATGTTCCCGAGATTGAGACACTCATCCTGAGTGACAACAAAATCTTCTCACTGACGCACTTCGATACACTAGCCAAGAAATGTCTCAATCTGAAGAACCTCTGTCTGAGGAACAACAAGGTAACATTGTAGTGTGGCAACTAACACGTATCACATCCTTTACTAATGTTCTCTCTTTTTTCTTTATTTTCCAGATTGCTATGCTGAATACGCTGGACAACCTGAAATCATTATCTCTGACGGAACTCGTTTTGACTGGTAATCCGTTAAAAGAGAAAATGCAACCGCGCCAATATATCAGGTATCATGAAATATTTAGTGGAACTCATGAAAATGGGTGAGATGCACAGAATTGATGGATTCAGGACAGCGTTGAAGTGAATTTTCATCTCACTGAGCATCATTGTGTCAGAGGAATTTTATCTATCAGCAGCTGAATCAAACTGCTCGCGAATATTTTGCTCGTGCTGAAAAGATGATGAAGAAGCAAAGAGATTAGTGTTCAATGCACCCATCGCGGTGTTTGAAAGATGATGCAAGATATCTCAATGGTTTCCATAAGTTTCGGTGTCAATATTTAGGAGTTGCTTGACTTCCACAGAATACGCAATGGATGCATAATTTGTCATGCAAATGTTTGAACAATTGCTTATTAATATTAGGATGAATGAGTCTATTTGTACGTGATAATAACACCTGTTGTTGTTGAAAAACTCTGTAGCGATTTCTTCTGAGAAAAAAAATAACACAAACAAGAGCTTTGGAAGGGATAGAAGAATGATGGAAGGTGAAGCCGAGACAGTGAAACGTGTCTCGTGAAATATTCTCTCTGAGGAGAGACCAAAGAGAATTGGACGCACAGATGAAAATCACGCAAATAGTGATAAACTGTGTGTTTGGCTTACACTGAAAATCTGATTCTGGTTCTGTCTGAAAAAGGCGAGCGGATCAGAATAAAGAGTGAGAGCGACGTGGATGGAATGCGAATGGCAGTAGTAATTAGAGAGCGCTGAGAAAAAAACAGATTTCTAAATGTAGTCAAAGCCAAAAGATCTTTGAAGAGAACTTGAACGTAAAAGGCGAGAAAATATTTAAGAATTTGCTACAGAGACACACTATGAATATTAGAATGAGATATCTCAATGAAGTCGAGGGGTATTTTGATTACCGCACAACTCATTCATTCTAACAATTAATAAGCTCATTTTACTGACTTCGCTTTGATGGCAGTAGAATTCAGCTTTGCACAAAGGAACGAGTAGCCCAAATGTGGCACGACTGTGGATGTCAAGATAAGATTCTAAAGAATATCGAGGCTAATGGAAAAATAAAGTTGCTAGTTAATCACTCGTTTGGCACATTGAAAAAGGCATTAGGATAATTTTATCTGTTAATTATACTTTTGGGTTTATGCCTCTGCAATGAACACTAATTGCACGCGGGTTTTCTACATGGCGTTGAAGTTGGATTTTGCGGACTAAGAGATGAGATCCTCCTATTGAAAAATAACAGTTTGATAGTTGCGTGAATATAGATTAAAATATTGAGGTCTTTATTTGCAGAGTGAATTAGAATTTAGTTGTTGTTTTCGTAAATAATTGCCTGATTTTCTTCATTGCATTTATATCTGATTTCACAGTGAAATACGCAAAAGAGCATCGAAGTTGTTAATCCTGGTAAGAAAATTCTCTCTGCTATTTCATGAGATAATGACTTCATTTGTTTGTCTGTCTCTCTTTTCGTCAATAGGATGGAGAGACTCTTCCGCCTCAAATAGGCTTTGATGTCTCAACCGAAGTCACTTTGCCGCCAGCGAAGGCGTCCTTTTTGTGCGACATGAGCGGTTCTGAGATTGTGAGACAATTCCTGCAGCAATACTTTGTGCTGTACGATTCAGAGAATCGACAGCCATTGCTGGATGCATATCACGAGCATGCGTCCTTCACTCTCACCACATATTCGCCCTTTGATGAGATTCCGGACAGAGGGTAGGATTTTGTGACAGAGGAAGAAAAAAAGATTGATGATTAATGGTTGAGGTTTTTTTCTTCATTTTTACAGCATTAAGCCTTATTCGTTCAACAATCGAAATTTACTGAACCAGAAGATCAATTATGATAGGAAGAAGCGCAGCGTGAAATACGGACGTTTGCCAGTTGTGTCCTATTTGTCTGAGTTGCCGCCAACACAACACGATCCTGACTCATTTGGTGTGGATCTCAGTCTGTATATGGTGAGTATTTTGCGTTCTCTAGACACTTATTGCTCAAATAATAATGTGTGCTTCTTTGACTTTGCAGCCACAAATGATACTCTTGACGATCACAGGAATTTTCAAGGAGAAGCGCAAGAATCAATCGCAGCCGCTGAGGTCATTCCAGAAGTGTCTGCTCATTGTGCCTGCTGGATCTGGATACTGTATACGCAATGAGATGCTTCACATCACGGATGTGACCAAGGATCAAACGATGGGCGCATTCAAGCCGGCGCCGGTGAGCGAGATGACACCAATGCAGCCATCTCAAGCGCCCATTGTTCCCGTGACGCCCATTCAGGCGGCAATGCCGAGCACTTCGGGACACGTGGACGATGTCACGAAGATGCAGATGGTACAGGCAATCGCGCAGAAGACCACTATGAATCTGGAGTGGAGCAGCAAGTGAGTTGTCAGCAGAATCAATGAGAGAGCTCTTTTCGATTGAATTTATTTTTGCGTTTTCAGGTGTCTTGAGGAGACAAACTGGGAGTTCGACAGGGCCATTCATGTGTTTACGGAGTTGAGGAAGGATAATAAGATACCACCAGAGGCATTCGTCAAGGCTGGCAGCAGCTTTTGAGTTAGTTTATAGCAGATTATGAATTTTTTTCATTCTAGTTGTATGACATTAAACGAAGAAATGAATATCCTTGAAATTTATGCAAGAATTTGTTAAAATGAACGCGAATTACACGAAATTCAGAGAAGTTTTGCATTAATTATGTCTAAATATCTAATTGTGAGAGATGAGATTATGTAGTGACTATATTAATAGACAAATTCTAATAGTTTATTTTGCTGTATTAGAATAAAAAGAAATCATATTTTAGTATTAAATTTACTGAAATGAAATCTTTCTTGTGTGAGCGTGCATAATTGGTGTCTGATATCAAAAATCTATTAACACACAATATTCAGTGTGGAGTTGAAGCATTGACGTCAAGAGTGTGCTACAAATACAGCGAAATTGCTGATTATTGGTAGTGTACATTTGATACTGTACAATAATAAGCTAATTATTTAGTACACTGATTGTGAGACTTTCTGACCAGAAATTGAGTAAAGAAAGTGCAGGAGCAGAGCTGAATAATTGAGAGGCTTTGCGAGGGCACTTTGAGAGATCTTCAGAATTGTGCGCGACCTCCAAAAAGCATTGCTCAATAGCTCTTGTCTCCTGTGCCTCCTTTTGCAAGCAAATTCTCAAGCAAATATATGCTCTTTTTATGATGTCTCTCTGGTGCCTGAGCACAAGTTTTTGTCCGGCCACGAAGAGAGCACTTAAGATGTATGGCAACAGAGAGGGAAAATGCTTGGGCAAATAGACACCGAAATGTATGTTGTTTGGCAAGATCTTATTGCATATTTTCCGCTCCCGTCGCCGTGGTGAAAAGATGACGTTGAAAGGCGGAAAATGTGTTGGAAATTGTGTAGTTCATGTAACATATAAAATGTCTAATTTGCAAATGAATTACATTTGAGTACAATTTGCACTCTCTATTTTGTGTCAGTCAAACATTATTCGCGCATTGTCAATAAAACAGGTATATATTTAATATAAGTGTCTCGCTTTATATACATAAGAAGTATAATTTGATTGACGTCAGTGGCTCACCATTGCGTACACAAGCACACAAAAAGGTGCGCTGGAACTTGATATGGTAGGTAAAGAGAACCAATAAATGGGAATAATTTCTTTGAACTCTGGCTTTTGCACTGATTCTCTGTACCTTGCTGATGTCCTGGAGACTCTTTGCTGTGTGAGAAGGAGTCTGTTGGTGAAATGATCGTGGGATTTTGGGCGCGTGTGTATTAGAATTCGGTGATCGTGCCGCGAATGGGTTAATGGTGTGTTTGGGCAGACACAGAAAAGCTCAATGGAGCGCGCGATCGGTGGACGAGCAGCTGAGCCATCGCGATGCCGTGTTTGAGGGGCACATTAGCATTTAAACACGCACAGCAACGAGGTTGAGACACAATCGCTGGCCACAACAGCAGCACCAGCCAAGAGCAGCAATTCAGTTGAGTGGCTACCGCGATAAAAAGCTAATGCTGTTTCGTCTATGGCAATATTATGAATATTTCGGATGAGTGATCTGTCGTGCGACTTTCAGTGCTGTGCAAGATACTCTGCGATATCTATCTGTCCAATTGGCTCAACAAGAGTGTATACAAGTGGAAAAATCCGCCGTCTTTTTAGTGATCTTCGACTATTTACCAGTGACGTCGCGTCAATTTACAATATTGTCTCTATTTTTTCAACTCTATTGCCCTCTCTGAGTGTGTCTCTTTTGGAATGATAAATATCGCCTTGTCCTCGCACTGGATGGTGCATGCATCGGTGGATGAATTTGAGATCAAGTGAACAGTTATCAGTGGGCAAAAACACCACTAAAATAGAGTTTGATAAAGTGCGCGCGCTCTAAAGTGACTGTGTGCAGTTTTTTTTTTATTCCATCCACACTCATACATAAATCACGAGTGAAAGATCCACGATGCGTGGCAAGGCATTGACGAGAGCAGTATGGAAATGGTGATCAGTGATCGATCGACGTGGAAAAGCAGCTTCCAGAAAAGGTATGCGCGCCTCAACTTTGGATAGCTCGAGAAGAGAAAATAAATAATTACTCAAGGCAACTTTTGCCGTAAGAGCTTTCAGTCTCTGCTCTGCCACTTGATCACATTCAAATGTGCTGCAATACTTATTATTTTTTCATCCTTTTGTCCCATTCTTTGCGCACGTCATCGTTTTTGATAATTCTCACACACTCGCCGCTCATATTTTATTTGATATTTTTTCACCCGGTCTCCACGTCTCATGCTCGCCTCTCGTCTCTTACTTCCCTCAGCCATGATCCACGATTATCCGCGCGAGAGAGACGCTGAGTCGGGAGGGGGGGGGGGGGCATTCAAAGTGTGTTCTCTCGCAATAAAGAGTCTTTTTTGCTGACCTTTTATCGTTCTTTTCCTTCATGCAATAGTAACTGTGACTCGAGTATATTGCCCATTTTATCTTCCTTGAGTGTTCAAATTTTTTTCTACCAATTCAAAACAACATTGACATTGATGGGGTCTTCAAAGGGGAGATCACTTCATGAGGTGATAGTGAAATGTGTTCAATGGACTGTTGAATCAACTGTTATTCTCACAGCCGAGCATCGAATAATTGAATATTCAACTTAAACGGACTACTAATTCTGTATTATAATATAATACTACATAAACATCGTCAAATATTTGCGTGATATTTATTAAGAAAGTATAAGTTCTTAATAGTATCAAAAATAATCCGCAAACTCAAAATTTCTCCTTGCTCGTCACACTTAGAAACTGAAATAAAAATGAGTAAATTGGGTATTTTGCAGTCAATTTAATATGTCAAATGCTTAATTTTTTTTAAAACTAAAATTGATCTGAGAATTTGTTCTAAAAGTTGTTTATTATTGCATGATTTTTAATATTTTGATCTTAATTTTGAGGCATTTTGGTCAATGTGAACGAGAATTTGAAATAAAATTGTATTAAAATAGAGAATCTTGTTCTCAAGATGTACTGGAAGTCCATTGAGAAGATACATACATATGTTTAGTCATTTACCAGATCTGTGGAATCACATGTTGGCTCCAAAGTTCTAGTTCGTTATCTGTGGAGAAAACATGTGAACAGAATTTTTGTACTTTAGTCAGTAGAGTATACTAAAATTTGTCGGTAATCAGAAAGTAATATCACTATATGAAACACTATAAAAGTAATGATAAGAACACAGTTTCTAATGCAGTGAATTTTCCAAGTCACGCCAGAGTGCGAAAAATTTTATTCCAGCCCGTTTGTGTTCTCCAATCTCTGGTGAAGACTGTCAATGAAAGTAGAGTTGAGGCTGCTTCGCAAGGAGATGATGAATAAGATGTACAGCGAATATGAATATTGACTAATGGGGCTGCGATGGGAAAGCAAAAGTGGCGCAGAGTTTATTTGTGTAACGCCTCTATTCATGTGAAATATATGGACAGTATTGAGATATATGGAGATTGTTGGAGAAAAAGAGTGATTATTTAATTTATTACTTAACACCTACTTCACGATTCTCTCTCGCCACGACGCCCTATCATCACGATCGGTGAGTCTCTCTCTGTGCACAACTCCAAAATCCAAATCGCGCACAATATTGGCGAGAGTCAAGTGACAAACGTACCTGACGAGAATGTGTCTATTTAATGCCTTTTTCTTGCTTCATTGAGTGTAAAGCGAGCCTTGAACGACACACCGTGTGTGCATTTAGCGAAACATTGACCCACATCCATGACAGCCAGTGGAAATAATTTTTTATGCTACACTTATTCACACCGCGCTTTTGCTCCATCGCGACACCCGATGAGTGGTTCTGATGCATCCAGAATCCACATATAATTCTGGTCTCAAATCTTGCCACCTTGCATGGGGATTAAGTGCGCGCGCGTGATCGGTGTCATCTGAGAAGGTGTCCACAGTGATCAGTTACAGCATGTTTGAATTACGACAATCACGAGGAGTGATCATAACTTGTACATGCAATTTGATAGAGACATGACCAGCGGTTCTGTCTTCATTTCAGATTGATCATGATTTGTGGTGAAATATGAGAAGAAGTGGCCAGCCGAGGAATCTGCATCATCACCGCCAGCGATCATTGCCCACTGACACGAATAATCTCGGCGATTTGCTAATTCGAGCCAAAGTGAAGAACAACAGGTGAGTAGCGACTTTCGTCACGCTCAATAAAGCGGGCCAGAATGGAACAATTTGCAATTCTCATGATCATCTCCTCTGTGTGTACAAGTTGTTGTTTATACGCTTATAGTAAACACAGAGAGAGAGCAATGCTTTTTCCACTCTGCCAAACCACAACTTGCGTCAATTCCGCACAATTCGTGCGACTCCCCAAAAATAACGCCATAAAAAATCACCTGGTTTTTATACAAAGCGATCAACAAGACGTTGAAAAACGGTGATGAGTGATTTCGACGATTTCGACCATCGCAAAGACATGGCGTAACGTGATTTTGGGGAACTGATCCTCCCCTGGCGTGTTATTCATTGATCACGGTGTGACTTACAGAACCATTGTCAATGATGTCGAATGGATTTCCCTCGAATTTAATTAAAGTTGTCTATTCTTGGATTTCTGGATGTTTTTTTCATAATCCCACTTTGTAATATGAACTTACGTAGGATGTCTAAAATAACATTGATAAAATGTGTGAAATTGCACGTCATAAATACTGGAATTGAGTTACAGTGAAGAGTTAAACTTGTCTCTATGCAATAAATACCCTATATATTTGTCGTGAATTTGCAACTATTAGTAATACGAATTGGGTCGTCACATGCAGCCACAGCCCTCGACTATCATATTGGGCAGCACCTTCTGTGTGGCCGTGTTGTTGCTGTCGAGATAAAAGAGCTGCAGGGCCGAGAATTCCGTTGCCGTGCAGCAAGGCGTTAACTTAAGCGTGCGTGACTGCTGTTGATGACGCATCATGTATTTCTACGAGATGGATAAACAGATCACAAGTTTTATGAATTCTAGATTAAATTGTAGGTCATTCCACTATTCAAATATTCCACTCTAAACTCACCCTTATGACGTAGTTGTGATGCGATCCTTGTGCTATGGTTGCCACAGAGGCGCAAGAGCCTCTGCAGAAATAGGCGTGATAACCCGGAGGATAAATTATCCAATCATCCCACTCTATGTCTGCAAAATCTACGTACAGACGCTCTCGACAGCAATCTGTAACGCCAGCACTGCAGTTAATGTTACGTCTCACGCGACGACCGCCGGCCGGAGTCACATCGACCACGATGAACGGATGTCTTGGTGGCTCTGCGGCGACACCGCCGAAGGCGCACGTCTTGCAGACAACGTGTAAAACATGGCGCCATTCGTTGTGCTCCACCCATCGTCGCATGGCCCAACGTAGACCAACGCGAACCCATCCCTCGCCAACGGACGTCTCGTGAATGGCCAGAGGATTGCGCTTGGGAAATTTTCGGGCAGGATCCCAGTGTGCCATCTCTGATATCACGAAGGTCTGATTGTGCGAATCAAGTGAATCAGGCATCTTGTACAGCCACAAGGTGGCCTGCTCCACCTCAGCAGACAACACATCGCTGGGAATCTGGAAGGAAAAGCACTGCGCATCGCGACTGCAGAGACGGCGATCTGCCAGCCGGACGAACAGTTAAATCGTTTAGACAGGGAATCGGATGATGATCGCATGATGACACTCACCTTCTTCCAGAAAGATGATCTTTTGTGTTGTTTTACCGTAGAAGTCATCGTGAACGTGACGGTTGAGTGAATTCTCGCTGTCGTCAAGGTTTTCGCGTTGGCTGATAATGCCTTCGAGTATGGGACGAGGAAGGGAACTGCGCGAGACATTGGGGCGCTCCTTGAGGCGCAACTTTTGTAGGATCTGATCCTTCACGTACTCGATGCGTAGCGCTACCTCATCGTCATGCAAATTGCAGTTGGAGCAGCCAGTTACCTTGGGTAGGCTGTTATCCATGAAGATGGCGGGTGATTGCCTGGCCTGACGATAGGAACTCACGGAGGCCACGCAGATCAGCCAGAAGATGAGGAGATTATTCACTTCCATAGCGCGCCATTAAAGAACTATCTTGTGAAGCGCCATGGTTCGCGCCATAGTCCACGACGATGCACCCAGACACACTGGCCAAGGACTGTGCGACTGGCTGATCACCAGCTGAGTGGTCACTATCGTATGCCAGAGTCGCACTCCCGCTAGTGCTAACAGATAGCTTATCACCACAACCGAACGATCACTTCTCGCAATGCCAGAAGATCTTCGCGTTCGCTCCTCCTTCGGGGATGTTGATTCAGTATTTTGGGACAAGTCACTGCCCTTCTCGCGAATGCGATCCTGCCATGCCCCAGTGCCGCTCAGCTTCCCCGCACATGATGAAATTTGAGTCCATTGTTGCGCCCAATACACTCACATGCCTATCACGGGTCACGGGGCATCGGCACATTCCAGCGATACTCAGCCTGAAAGATAGATGCGCAGCTGCCCAAGATCCTCCCACAATCGGAAGAGACGCCTAACATCTGCTCTTCTTATCATCGACAAAATGAGCATGGCTCTCGTGCTCCGCATTAGCCGAGTTTGAATAAGGATGATAAATGCCTTGTAGAAACAGATTGAGAGGAAAATTGTACGACATTCATAAGCTGAAATTCCTTATCTAGAGAAATACCACGTAATCGGCTATAGAAGTAAAAAGCGTCATGAGAAGAATTAGAGCATGAGGATCACGAATGATGTCCTTTTCTCTACACAGAGGTGAATTTAGCAGATATTCATACGGCGTAGCTTTCGTCCTTAATGTAATGACATGTCACCTCTTTCCTATTGGCTTACAACCCAAACAGTTCCCAGAAATATCAACCTACACATAAACTAATGAAAACGAGTGCTTAATCATGGTTTTCGCTGAGCATAGAGAGACTTTACATGGAATTCTAGTGTTAAAAATTGCCTCTGATTTGATAAGCAGTATTCATCAACATTAAAAGTTGTTATTGTAGGAACACACAGATTACAGTTCCCCACATCTTCTGAATATAAATTGATAAGGAGGAAAGTTATATATAGAGAAAAAAATTTGTTGACTTACAGATTTTACATATTAATGTTTTGATGGAACACTTTTGCTCTTCACTGTAAAACCTTTTCCACCTTGAATTTCACCGAGAGTTTCAAGTTTGAAATTTAATGATTGAAAATTTATACTGATTCGAGGGAAATTCGTAACGTGAGAGTTATCCTTAACAGCTCTACGATCCAGCGCCAAGTGTCTATCTCCGGAAGTGAGCTGCCCATCAGGGAGTCCGATGAGTGTGAGGTCTCGCAGAGTGGCGACGAAATGACCGCCAATGAGGTGTGCAGCAGATTGACGTCAGCGGGTATCTGGGCAGAGAGCCGGGCAGGGCCCGGAGGAGCGGGTGTGGGAGGATCACCGGTGACACACGGCGATTTGCACATGTGGGCTGAAGCGCGTCAGTGGCAGCAGCATCGGCTGGTGGGGCTCGACAGTGGGGCAGATAAGGCCGCTGCTAGCAGTCACGGAAAGACAGTGGATGTGCGCGGTAGTAGAGCAACAGAGCTTGAGCTGAGCAGTGATACGGGATCGAGTCGTCGTCAGAGGAAGACTGTGGTTTACCGACGAGATTTTCCCAGTGCGATCGACGAGGAAAGCCCTGGTGACTCCAAATATCCATGCGTTGAGCGCCTCATTCAGCTCTATACAGCAATGATCCACAAGCGGCAGGAGGAGATGAGCCCCGAGGTGCTTCTACAGGGTACCAAGAAGACTCCCGTCAAGGAGATTGACACAGAGACGTGCGAAAGGGTCACTCTCAATAGGAGTCCCTTCTCGGATGAAGGCTGCTCCACACACCAGAGCCCTTATTCCAGTGATGATGATGAGTTGAAGGGACGCAGCTCGAGGCGAGACAAAGTTGTGCGATCTTCCAGCTCAGACTCGGCGCTCGGTCTGGAGGAAGATCACGAGCCACCAGTCAACACTGTGAGGCGAATGACACTCACCGTGACGGACATTCCCCTGCGGCCGGCGCTGTTGCCACTCGCGGAGCCAGCATTCCTGAACTGTTGCGACGTCCCCGCCGTCGGCGTGTCTGGCGAGACCCAGGTGCACAATGTGCCCAGTAAAATGATCCTTGAGGCGCAGGTGATTGAGATTCCTGGCCCGGGGGCCGATGATTCCGCCACTGAGGCTTCAATCTCTCGCCGAGAATCCGCTCAGAGCTTCCTCAGTGACGGAGATGATGGGCACACGGTGCGCTACGTCAGGACACCCTCAGTAGTGGTGTCCGACTACTCTGATGACATCATGTGCGGCATCACCCTGGAGGAGATCGAGTACTTCCGTCGCCAGCAGAGGCGACGCAGCAGCGGCGACGGGGATGCATTCTCAGACGTGAGCGCCGCCTCATCGTGCAGCAATCTCAACTACTGCGGCAGCCACATCAGCACCTTGGACGGATGCGAGTACAGTTACGGCCAGGGTGGGCTCACGATGCCCGAGCGCAAGATATCTGACTGCTCCACGTGCTCCACACTCAGCGGGGACGAGGAGGACTCCTTCCGCGCGCCCAAGCGTGAGCACAAGAAGGTGAGTGGCAACGATGCTTAGGTCTTCCCTGGAGTGTTGAAAGAGAGGAAGAGAGTTCAGTGTGAGAATTTCCATGGTGCGTGGGGTGATCGCGCCCCACGCACAGCGACTGTTTCAATCATTTCAATTGATCTTGAGCACCACTTTTCATCCACCCACGCGATCAGACCGCTCTCCTTGATCGCCTGCCACGCAATCTGCGAAGAGAGATCGCAATTCGCTGCACTCCGACTCTGACGTCAGTGCCATTGTCTCCTCGGCCGCATGTTAATTGCAATTGAGACATGAGCTGACGCTATTTCCTTATTTGCAGACTCCGCGCTGTGCTAATTCTTTCGCGAGATCATTTGCCATAAATCTCATTCATCCGATGTGCTTTCAAAGAAAAAGAAAGTTCAGAATATTTATAGTGAGTCATTCGGATTATAAGCAATAATTTGATTGGGAGACAAATTATTTGTCTAAGAATTATTCTATCATCAAATTTATGCTGATCTTCTCTTTCTTTAAGATACCACCACAGAGTGAGGCAATTGTGGTGTGTTTCAGGTGAGAAATATGAGTGACAAAGATACAAAAAACAATGCGCATAATTTTTCTCAAAACGAGTGACTTTTTCCTCTTACTGAATGATCAACTTTACTTTCGTGCTCAGTGAATTTTCTGCTCATTAATTGCCTCATTCTGCACTTTATTTCTTGTATACTTGAGAGATAGTTAATCCGCGTGGTCACAAAAGGAATGTGAAAGCTAGACATAATGTTTCCATCATTAATACAATTAATTAGTAAATTAATAGAAGATAGAAAATGAGAGTATTTTAGGAAGAAAGGAAAACTGTTGTGGGACCGAAATTCACAGTATTTTGTTAAAAAGCATTTAAATATTGAGAATTAAACATGAAAAATTATTCGCAAATCAAACCATGAAACTAGAATTCCTTCGCCTCAATTAATTAACATTATCGCCGATTAATATGAAACAATGTGAGAATTTGCCGACAACACTCGGTGACAAATATGATAATCAGATTTATGATCACACAATCGTGCAATAAATGGTGTGTGGCAGAAGAAGAAAAGGAAGGTTCTGAGCTGAAGAGCGTCTATTGTAAGAAATAATTTTATAATATTCTTTATGGTATTTTACAGAAAAAGAGCGATGAACTATAAGGTGTTTCTTATGGGCAAAAATTGTGATTTAAAATTATAAATATATGGATTTTCATTTGAAAATAAATCAAAGGAAAAAAACACTGTGGATTGATTTTGTGTGAAATTTTTCATGTTTCACTCTTCTATGTGGCATTTCCTGCGCTAATGATGGCAATCTTGCCATTGTCTTCTGTTCATTAACCCATCTGCGTTCGCTGGATGTGAATGACTGGCTCTGCTACACTTTGAAGTTCTCGCAAATCGCACAAGAAGTCTTTTGTTGAGTCTCTCTTCTCACATCGTCGCATAAATTTGCCGTAATCGCCATAATCAGTGTGTTTCCCATCGCCAACATCAGCCTCCTCTTGATCACTTTATACTCTCTGGGCCATCAATTCTGTCGACCATCAGTGAAAATGTGGGATAACTCCTCTCCATTTAAGTGCTGCCGCGCGAGAGGAGGTTATTGTTAGATTAATTTTGAATAAGGCATTGACGTCATTCGGTCTCGCTTTGCTAAACACACGACAGCCTGAAATTGAATGGGGTTTAGTTTTTTCCGCTGAAACACTGATGCACACCATCGCTACGATTGCCATGTGCCAATAAGTCCCTCCAGTTCGCCCACAATTCCCGATATTGAGGCGAATTTCACTTGTCGGGCCCCATTTGCGAGTGGACCATTTACGTAATTAACAACCTGGAAAGGTAATATGCTATTAAGCGTATTTAAATTTTTGTTATTCTCGCGCGCCACCGCATGTACATTCCATTGTGCCGAGCAAATACAGATATGTGAGTAATATGGTTTAGTAATCCCTGTGTAAATAGAAGAAATTTATTGAATATCTCACAATATTTACCCTGTTGCGAAACTGCTTTCGATTGTGTGGCAGGAATAATAAGATAACAAATAATCTTGCTTTCGCACACTCTATCGATCGATATAACTTGTATTTTATAGTAATCTTAATTTGTAGCATTACACGTTGTCTTCTTATTTTATCAACTGAAAAGCCTTATATGTATGTGACAAGAATTTGAATAATAAATGGGATTGTTTTTGTTAAATTTTTATAGCAAAACTGTTCTTTTGCGTGTTTCTGTGAACTTGTATTAAGACTAAAGAAAGTTGATAATAAGACTTTATAATGCAAATTTAAATGAAATTATTACTATAATCTCCTTTACATCCGCACTTCTTATCAGCGTTAGTGGTCCTGAATATCTTAGTATTTTCTCTAAATGTTGATATAAGATAAAGTAAAAGTATATTTTTCACAAAAAGGACCACCTTTACGGATATTTTTTTCGGAAACTCCACACACTCATACGTGATCCTGTTTAATTAGAACCAACCCAATGTGGCTTATTTTAAAATTCACTGTCTGCTCACTACAAAAATATCCTATTAGAAGAGACCATTTTTTTTTTGTAAAATATAGAAATTCCACATTTCGCAATTGTGACTGCTTTTCTCTATTCAAAGAAAGAAAGAAAGAAGATTTTTGTTCTCACAAAAACTATTTCTTCTTCTTGACAAGAAAATTCAGCCATTATTCCGTGTGTAAAGTGAGTTCTTAGCGCGATCTCACCTGTGTTTTTTCTATGTCAACGGATAAAAGCAAATATTCCCAATGCGATGAGAGCTTAACCTGTTGTATTAACCATGAGACTCGAGTGTACATTTACGTACAAGACGGTGCCTTATCTGTTGATGAAAATTCAACTGTGATTCCTTATCCTTATCTCTGTGATTCTCTCTGAGTGGCATGAAAATATCATTATGAAGTTGGAAATGTGTGCTCTCGTATATTTAGCTCAAGAAATTGTCCCACGTGGAAATTGCACTCCTCATTTGTGAGATAAGCGCGCAGTTGAGGGAAGCTGTTATGGAAAATTTGAGTTGAAACTCATATTTTATCTGCTCTGAAATCTGTGAGAAAGTCGATAAAAGTCGGGGAATAACTGACGTCAGAGCCAATGCATATATGGCCAAGCTGAATCTGCAAAACTTCCTCATAAATTAATCATGAAAAGAAAAATTTCGAGACACGAAACAATTCACTTGTGACACGTTCGGCATGCCATTGAATGAGTAATTAGTAGAAATAACATTTTGCAGCTGTGATCACAGAAAACTTGCCTTGCAGAATCTCTGGCCATTGACAATTTTTCCACTCGATATTTAGGTGTGGTGGGAGGGCAGTCGATTCTGACGGTAAACAGTTTGCTCTTCAATGTTTATGGTCGCTATTTGCGTCATTCTCCGCGTTTTTTTCTTTGAAGTTCGATGACAATTTGTGTTCCAGTGGGAATTAAATGGTCTCACAACACAGCAAAAGGTCTTTTTTCCACTCATCCTTGTATCGCTTATCAACGCAACAATCTCAATTTGTCATGATCATTCGCAGAACTAGCGTCACAACTGTTCAACAAAGCTATGCAAGTTGATATCTAAATACGTCCACAGTCGTAATGTACTAATTTTGTGATTTACAAGTATTGCTTGAATGATAGCGAAACAAAGGGACCAATAAATTACAAGTAAAGACACCGCACTGTATTTAATCAATTACTCAAAATATGTATTAAGCATTGACCTTAATTGTTTTATAACTTATCGCGTGTGAATTTCTGCGACGGCTCACACTTTTCCATTCCCGACGCTGAATAATTATGCATTATGACTCATGAAGATCAATAACTTTAAAGGGACTGAAAGCCAATAATTTGTAGTTCAATTTCATGTGGTTTTGCAGATTTTCAGGCGATCAATCTTGCTTTTCAGTCGGACAATCTTAATGTTAAGAGAAGCTGTAAATTGAATGAAATGATCAGTATTTTCCGCCGTGCTTCTTGGTGCAAAATAACACTTTTTTGCCACCTTAAATATCCCACTGTCTTCTGAGTGAAATTAATGAAGATAATTTATCTTAACAGGTTCAGTTGGGAGACAAAAAAGTCACTTTTTCAATTATAATCACTCTCACAATTGGTTGTTTGGTTGGAGAAAAAGATAAGTGATTGGCTTAGTGAAATGCTGCAGGAAATTGGGGTATTTTAACTAGCACGTTGGACTGTACGGCTAATCCACATGTTTACTGCAAGCCATGTATTGGTCTAATCTACGTAATGAATGCCGATTTATTAACATGGACAGTGATTTATATGAGAGTCGCCCGTTCGGTGTTGATCGCGGTTAAATTAAATTTGTTTATTAATTATGAAATTCCTGCAATTAAGAGTCGCCGTGTGTGCAATTCAACAAGACGCTTCGCGTCCTGATTCCCAGTGAGATTTTGCAGCTCTTGAAAAAGCCGTTGTGATTCTAGAGGAGTGTTATGCATACTCCAGTTTATATATTTAGTTAGATCATAACTTAACTATTAACGGGCATTTTCTGCACATCGTCCTGCTAGATGGCGAGTGTTGCAAAAAAGGCGGTATTGTTAATTGTGGTGACTCGTGCAGCCGCATGTTGTCAAAGATATAAAGGGTCGCAATTGATTAAGCACATGCCATCCACAACTAATTATTTCAGAGCAGTACAAAACACTGGCGACTGGTTGGTGTGTTTTCATCCCATTAATTAATAAAATTGCTATTCTCACCATGAGAAAGAGTTAAAAATATGCTCACAGTCCTGGCAATAATTCTAATGGAGTGATTGCACATCGATTAGGCAATGCGAAATTCTTCCAGCATCCGAAAGATCACTAATCTCAAAATGAAATCGTGTCCGCCTTCTGAACTTTTTCTACCCATGGGCAGAAAGTTTCAAATTAAGCGGTGAAACGTGAGCATTTCTTGCCGCAGAATTCCTGGCTGGGCAAAGAGAGAGAAAGAGAGTGTTACGTGGAAATTCTTGTGAACATTGAGTGATGACATGATCATGACGAGCATATTATCCACGCACTTCAGCTCCCAAAGTTCACCTGAGCTCACTTTATAGGCCGTGCATGAGGCCACATGATGTCTCAATTGAATTGACGACGTGAGAGTCGTGATCATGATCAATGGTTTGATTTATAACAAATTCCAGGAGACTCAATGTCTCTATGCCTTCAAAGTCGCCCCAAGAACACTCCTTATAAACTAATTTAATCTAATCTAAATGGTATTTTCACTATATCGTGTTCTTAATAATTAAAGAAACCAGCGCACATAATCGCCCGGTGTATCGGACCTTAGCACAGTGGAGCTCCCATTGACGTCAATGGTGAATATGATATGTGGTGCGCATGATAGCGATAAGGCACGAGTTGTATACAGTTTAATTGTTGGCGCAATAATTCGCCAAAGAATGTCAAAGCACCACAATCGCTCATGATCGCCAATGTTGTTCTAAATTTGCCCTTCAGCAAAAATCCCTCTAGCTTGGAAAAACCTACCCACAAATCAATCAACGCACAATATTTCGCCGTCCAGCTTCGCCAGTAAATTGACTTAATGCGTGCAATCACTTCTTACTATCCAATTGACTGGAATGCCAATGGACTTGCGGATGATGTCCAAGGCGGTGACGACCACGAGAGTGGTTTGAATGCTTATCTAAAAGACATGTCAAAATACTTCTCCATGAAAAATATACACATTTATCTTGGTGAAGTGAATATTTTGCGTGAAATTTAAGGTGATTGCCACAGGTTGCCTCGGCAGAGACGAAAAAAAACGCCTGAGCTCATTAGAGCTCGATTTTGTGATAAGTTGAAAATTACAGACATTTAAATGCCCTCACGCTTCATTAGTTCAGGCCTATAATATTGCAATTAAGTGAGTGAAAATTGAGTCATTTGTTGTCACCATTCGATTGCAATGGCATGTCGATGGAAGCGGCACCAAAATCACTCTCCAAACAATCCCCTCTGATCGGCCAAAAGCTTTGATTGGTGATCACTATTCTCCCGCCATAATCTACTGTGCATACAAGCCATTAAAGTGTTGCGAATGCATTGCATAATGCAGATGTGGAGCCAATAACACCGCCGTTATTTTATGCAGACTCACAGGTGATTGCACACTTAGACGGCAAATATCTCCCCACTGAAATTTCATGTAAAAGACAGAGTAATTTATTTCGGCAAGACACTTCCAATCAA